ATGATGGGTATAAGTGATAAACTGATACTGATCAAAATAATAATTATTGATTAAACTGTGAAACATTGGAATCATTGAACTTTTTCCCCACATATCTGGAGCATCATTTCGTATCTAATCCACTTTATCACACAATAATGAGCTCTCAAAATATTTCATTGTGTAAACAACCAGTGAATTCAATTCTATTTCACCTATATAAATTCACAAAATAAATATGTCAATGCAAATATGCAATATCGCAATTTCAATGTACAAATTAATTCAAAAAATAATATGTTTATTGTTTTACGAATGACGGAAGTATATCATCTTCACTTGAGAGAACAGTTTGGTACTATGGTAATGTTCACGAGCTCCAAACAATGTGTTTTACGAGTGAAACACTATACTTTTTTTGTCTAAAATATATGAAAATTAATCATATCCACCCTAAAAAGGTGACCGAAAGTAATTTTATCTACGAGCGTGAGGCAAAGTAACTTTTCGGTTTGAAAGTTGTAATTTTCCGTACGATTTTACTTTTCCGCATTATTTGCACTTTTTCGCACGATTTCGAAGGAAATCAAGAGACATGTGGTGATAACTGTTGGCACCAGAATGTACCCATACCAACAGTCGCTATAAACTGACAATTAATAGTGGCAGTCAACATATAAGCATTTCAGACCAATCTACCTTCCTCCATTCACTACACTAGTAATTAATTCTCAGCAACAAACTGATCAACGCATTACTGTAGTGGGCCAAACACTAACCAATCAAATTCAAATAAGAAACGACGTTTTTCAAGATGTTGCGGCATCTGCATATTACAGCATGCAACAAACACAAATTGTACTTTCAGTTTGAATATTTACCATCGTTAATGTTTTAGTTATTATTATTTAAATGTTCTTCAAATAAGTTTACTATTATATCGATGAAAAAAAAATCTATTTCATTATTTTTCAGTGCATGAAAATATCGTGCTTTACCGCACTAGTGCTGAAAAGTTACTTTTCCGCACGAATTTTGTATTGTTGAAAATAAGAAGATATATTTATAGGCCTAACTAAGTGATCCATGTAACTATTCTCTCTTATGTGTCATTTTGTAGCATCATTATAAGATATTGTTTATTAAATAATATGGACAAAAGCACCCGTAGGAAAAACTTTGTACCTAACTCTTGCGGAAAATGTCTTTTCCGCCCTTGACGAGTTGCCCGAACTCTGCTCCGCGTCGGTCGCGTGCGGAAAAGACTACTTTCCGCACTTGTTAGGTAAATAACTATATATCGTCCCTTGGGCTGCTGAACTCATAGTAAAACGATTTTGGAGTTTTTCACTATCTAAATACCACTATAGAAACGAAAGTTAAAGTTATAAAAATTTCTCTCACTAGTGTTGTATACCGATGCGTAGCGGAAAGAGACAAAAAATCGTGAGTTAAAATCTAATATCATTCCCGTGTATATTATACACTCTGTTTTTCTGTGACAGGACAAAGGACGAAACAGTATTGAGAAGATATTACATTTATATTAAAATCAGGAAATTATCCACGTGAAATTTCAGGTTTTCAACAGGAAATACACCTGCGTTGCAGGCGTCGTTTTGCAGGCATGTTTATCATTCTTCTGGAGTAATCAAATATCTGTCAGTCTGATACTTTGATTTGACTATAAAAAATTACGAACTAAGTGGTTGTTTAGTAATATATCAAGTAACCGCGAAGTGGAATGAAAGATAAAAGGACTTGCAGTTCTTTCTGGTAGACGGTATTATTGGCTTTTTTTTCGAAACTAGCAGAACAAAAGCCATCAACAACAATATATATAGTATATGTATATAAAGTACTGACTTTTGTCCCGTGGGAAAAAAGTTACATTTTATAACCTGTCAACAGAGATGAAATGTCAAACATTTTTCCGTCACAAAAAAAATATATTGGATTTCAAATCAGGGAATAATAGTACTCACCATGGTTGGCCTTCGGATTTAACTGCACTCCACGAAGTATTGTAATAATTGTGATAGAGGATATCATAATGATCCAAACAATTGAAAAATCTTATCTTTGAACAGATTACAAATGATGCCAATAGCCTAGAGAGACAAGTACTTTTCTTTGGAAAGCTTTTGTTCAGATAATCGCTATTATATTTGTTATCAATATTTTGTTTGAGATATTCTAGCTATGGGAACGTTGATAGACAAAAGCAGAGTAAACTAATAGATAGTATACCTTGTTCTCTGAAGAAATCAGGAAATCATTCAAACTAGCAACGCGAGCACAAAAATCCCTGGAAGGTTTTCGGAGGGAAAATGTTGGCATGAAGATGTTTTTTTTGGGACGTATATAATATGCCCTTCCCAAAGAGGTCCATGAAGGATATTGAAGTATTGTTTTTGTGATTTTGTCATTATGACAGCGAAAAAAGTTTGCCCTAACTTTTCCAGCGACAATAACGAAACCTAATTTTTGAAAACATGACAACCAGCCATGAACAAAAAATGGTTGATGAATTAAATTGTCTTAACGAATTACACTCTAGCTTTTTATTTAGTGGAAGTAAACCTGGCATTTATAATTCGAATTTCGTTGCCATTAGGTAAATCAACTCAAAAACTGACAGAAAAAATTACTCGTCCTACGGACTCGTAATCTTTTCAGAGGCAGTTTTCATCGTCAAATTCAGTAGTAAAAAAAACAATTTTCTTTGTAATTTATAAAACAAAATCAGTAACAATCTAATCCCTGTTTATCTTAATATTGATTTCAAAATTCGGACAATATATTGCTAATATTGAAGGGATTCAATATGTTTCAATCGCTCGGTATATGAAAAATGTTATTAGTTGGAGTCAGACTATTCAGGTTAACAGCATTATTGGACTCTTCACTTTTCTTCACATAGATACTTCCACGGGAAAAAATTCTTCAGAAATTTCTGCTATCATTACATCACTAGCAATACCAGTCAGACGAACTCGACAAACCTAGTTAGCACATCCTTTCGTCGTCAACCTTGAGATATGACGAACCACTCTTTACCAAAACTTGTTCGTCTATAGAACGGCGCAATTGAAGCTTTGGAATTCTTCGCCAAAGGAAGTGTTCTCATGGACTTATAATACCCAGAAGTTGAAAAATAAATTCCAATACCGAACATCATAGGTAGTGGGGCCCGCGAGAGTCTCGTTTTCGAGAGTTTTGCATGGTCTCGTCTCGTTTTCGAGACAAGACTCGGACAAGATGAGACGAGACTTTCAATGGTCGCGTCTGGAGTCTCGTGCAAGACTTCTCGTGTCTCGTGCGATAGTCTCGCAGGTAAATATTTCTGCGTGCCGACTGCAGACTTGAGAATTTCATTCATAATAAAACATATTAAGAAAGAATTCTATAAGAAAACATCTGATGAATCTGCACGATGTTTGTTATGTCTTAACGACTGGGTGAAAAACAAAAACATTCGCGATCCTGAAGGCTGATCTGACTGATAAAGGTTTCTTTCTAAAAGCGGCAGGGATAGTGGCTTTTTCCTGCCGCTTAACAGGCAGAAAAGGTGTACTTTTACTGCCTAGGCAGAAAAAGTTTGTTGCTATGCAACGTTCCAAGAAATTCTAATGAATTTAGTAATCAAAATTGACACTGACATTGGGTGAACACAAAATGATGGAGTTTTCAATAAAAAAATTACACAAAATTGGTTTTATATCATTTGGAGAAAAAATTCTATGTTTCACACGGCAGCAAATGTAGATTGACTACTTTTCTGCCTAGTAAAACAAATAACTAGTTTCTTAGATACCTATTTCTCAAATAAGTAAAATAATATGTTGGAAAAAAGTTTTTGTTTTGTTTATTCGTTAAGAATATACGTGTTACTTTTTATTTTATTTTAATAACTTTCGAATACATGTTTTTTTTTTGGTATGTTGTTCTGGCAGATGCATACCCTAATTCTGAGGCAATTGTTCTGATGGCATAGCATCCAGATGCTAGCTTTTTACACATAGATATTACATGGTCATTGAACATCAACTTGTTATCGATATGCAAACCTAAAAATCTTGTTGATGTTCTATTTTCTAATATATCATCACCGATTTCCAAGTTTGGGACATTACAATGAAAAGTCAGAATATTGGTTTTCTTAATGTTGAGAGAAAGTAGGTTTGAGTCACACCAATGTTTGATTACTTTTATATCTCGCATCACATTCGCAGTCCGCAAATAACGTGATCTCGCCTTTTATATCATGAAATGCCATATCATTAATATATAAGAGAGGAATAAGATTGGCCCTAGGACTGATCCTTGGGGCACACCATGATTTATCTGCGCGGTCTCTGAGGTAGTGTTTGTTTTAACAACTTGTTGACGACCGGTCAGGTAGGTCTTGAACCATTGGAGCTTATTGTCTGTGAAGCCGTAGTGGTGCAGCTGCCGCAGCAACTGCTCCCCTGTTTAGGCTAGAATATACCTTGTCCGTGCTCTTTTTTGGCAGGAACCCAAATTGTTGATCTGTAAGTATATTATTCGCAGTTAAATACTCCAACATTCGGATATATCTTAACCAGCTTCTAAACCAGCTTTTAAACTTGGCTACTTTTTGATGGTGGTGCGTTAATTTCTTGTAGAAGTGTATTTTAATTTGTTAGAAACGATGACAAGAAATCCCAAGAAAATCTGTAAAAATGTAATATTGAAATTCGTTGTTTTTGGACTAGAAAGATAAAGTTGTAAAATGAAATAAAAACAATATTCTAATATTCTTCGAATCGCTAATCGTCTAAATATTATTGTAATCCGAGACTGCGGAACGAAAATATCGATAAACATCAAAAAGTTTAACTTGATGCCGTCTTGTTTGTTGTACATATATATCTCTGTGTGTGCACGATCTCATAGTGCGATCCATCTCTGTCAAGGCGAGGGTATATCATACATTAAATAAATGAGAAACGCCCCTGTATCACTTTACGTATGCGAAAATCCAGAAATCTTTCCAGCTCCGTGCTTCAGCCCAGAAGGGTCTCTCAAAAGGGCTAAAAGAAGAAGAAGAACGGGATATGGACGAGCAACAGGTGATCGAACATTTGGAGAAAAAATGCCTCAGCGGGAGCCTCGATAATGATAGTGATGGCAACGTCACGTGTCCGGTCGTTTTCGATGGTTATTTGTGTTGGCCCGCGACCCTTAGGGGGCAATTGGCTAGGCAGCCCTGTTCCGGGAATTTTCTCAAGTCCACTCTCGAGGTAAGTCTGTTAGGATATATCGTAATAAAGGTCCTTCCTTTGTAGCTTGCTTGTTGCATTCATTCCATGATGAAAAATAAAATTCTTGACTTTGGATGTTATTATGGTAGACCTGTAACACATAAAAATCGGAATATAATGGGCGGATATTTTTGTTAGGTGTATGTATACAGAACTTTCGTGAAATATACTGAATGAATTAATTTTTAGCGGAACTATCCATTCGTCAGCAATCTCCCGAAACAGATTTTCAGATGATTTGATTTTTAATGTCCATTTGTCACAATCATTGATTATTGACGTCCGCGACAATTTTTTTATATCGAACCCTCTATACAGGGTGGCCGACGAGGTTTTGGCCAGTCGATATCTCGGAAACTATTTGAACTATAATTTTGAAATTTGGTGATTTCGAACAGTGGAATGTGGTGTTCATTTTTGATATAAGAGGGTTTTATTGCAACATCGCATTTTCGATATCACGTGACATCAACTTCAAAATTTCAAATGGAACACCTTGTATATTATTGCATTTTCGTGAAGTCCTTTCTAATACAAATTCTACGATACCATAATTGGTTTATTCTACACAGCCTACAAATTTAGATGATTTGCAAAACAAAATCAGAACAGCGTGCCAAACTTTACACCTGAAATGATTAGAACAGCATGCTCTAGAAATCTTTTAACAAGATTTGAGCATTGCGTTACTGAAGATGGACATCAATTTGAGCATCAACTGTAATGCTTTTTCTACTTATTTTGTTTCGTTTCCTAATTATACTGTTGTTCTTTAATACATTTTCCATTTTCCATTTATTTGACAGCTCATATTGTCACCGTTTCACATGAAAACCCTGACAATGATGGTATCGTAGTATTTGCATTAGGAAGGTTTTCACACGAATGCAATAATATACAGGGTGTTCCATTTAAAATTTTGAAGTTGACATTACGAGATTGGAAATGCGATGTTGCAATAAAACCCTCTTATACCAAAATGGTCACCGCATTCCATTGTTCAAAACCACTAAAATTCAAAATTGTAGTTCAAATAGTTTTCGAGATATCGACTGGCCAAAACCTCGTGGGCCACCCTGTATATTATCCAATTTTCTGAATCTCCATGAAAATCACACATTTTAGGTTAGTATACAGTTGGACCCTTGATTTCATCAGTGTTCTCGTAAAATACACCTAGTGAATAATTTCGTAAAAACTGTTGGGAAGAATGCTCATCTTCGAATTCCATGTTTATTGAGAGATTTTTTCGAAATTAATTAATACATTCAGAATGATTCGTGTATGGAAGAAATTACTTCATCGGTGTCATTACTCAAACGTGGACCACTTTGCATATCCAATAGTTCATGAAAATGTGCCAAATTGGAACAAATTATCGACCTATTCAAGAAATGAATAGTTTGGCTTGAGAACATTTATTCAGTACTTTACGAAAGCACTGTATACGACTTATAAATTCGAAATCCGAAATTGTTAGGACGGAAAAAAATCTTTATTTGTTCAAATAATTCTAGAACTGTCTTTTATAAAACAAAAAACAATGTAACCAGACCAAATGGATAATTTGTTAGGTAGATATTATAATTCAAAATATTTTTGGATACTTATTCGTTGATTTTTTCGATTAAAAAAATTAAAATTTGGAATTTTGGTATATTCGATCTCAGATCTGTCAAGACAGAAACAATGTAGCTAGTAGGATTACATAGTTTTGGTGAAAAGTTTCCTTGATTTTCATGAATAATTTTCATTGGAACCATGAGAAGAACATGAAAACAACAATCATTTGTACAAATTCAGATATTACAGTAAAATAAAAGATACCTATCACATGAAAATCATTTACTCTTCCCCAATAGAATCACGGCCTGATACCTTGTATAGCGAATCACGAGTGCTAGACATAAACCAATTATTCTTCAAATTTTGTATTTGTTGCATTTTGCATTTATATACGAACATCAGAGGAATTCGTTAAATACAAGACACAGAGATCATACACTCTCAAGGACAACAACAAATTTTGGACCAATTGATATCCAAGGTACCGACGTATGAAGTTTCATGTCTGATCGTGGGATATTTTGTGTCCAAGGGAAACGAACATCAAAGGTGCCGACAGTAAGTGCGACTCCTGAATCTTCTATGCTGTGCCCTCGGTGCTGCCAACACAGCCATTTTATGGTTAATTCTAGACATTTTCGAACTCAGATAGCTACTAAAAATTGCATTTTGCCATCGAGCCATTTTTTCTAGCTATTTTTAATTTCGAATTTCTATAAAAATATTTTCATTTTTATTATATTCCCATAGATAGTTCTTTACATTCATGATCTAATCTACGTCAAATCTGAACCAGACTTTATTTTTATGGATCATGTACTCCATACTTTGTTCCATTTTGACAAATTCGGTGCGTTTTTCATTCCAAAATTTTGTCATGCGCGTGAATCGAAGAAACATTGACGTTGACGTCAAAATGACATCAACACATCACGTTATACGTCACCCAACGTCAACGTAAATTTTACTAGAGTTAGTAGAGTCTAGCTCAAGATCTGAGCTCTAGACTTAAATTTTCAATGTCAGATTCGTAGTCCACGGTCAGATTTCTTATTTTCGCTATAAAATTGCAAACAATTGCTAGATCAGCCAGAACATGGCTAAAAAATAATAATATATAGCTCTTGCCAACAATCATCTAGCCTTCCCAATCAGCACCAGACATCTTATAAAGACGTACATTTTACGACTTACTTACGTCTTTACGTCCAGGGACGTATAAAGTACGTCTTTAAGATGTAAATCCATGTACATCTTGAAGACGTACACGAATTTACGTCTTTAAGACGTACATTTTAGGTCGTATCCGAGTCGTTCCTCCCATGTCGTATAAAAGACGTCTTAAAGACTTACATTTCAGTACGTCAATTCGACTTATAGAACAATAATGTAAGTTATTTTCTGAAGAAAAACAAAATGTCATCTCTTCACATTTTTTATTTTCAATTGTTCAGTTTTTTCTTATTTTCAACAAAAGTGATGTTATTGAATTTTTTCGTCCGACATTTTGGATCCTTCGTATTAGATTCTCGAATTTTTACAAAAAAATCATATTCTCAGACCCCAATAGGACTGAAATCACAAAACTCGTCCACCATTTTGAAGCCGACATCTTGGATTTTTCATTTTCGGCAAAAGGAATTATGATCTCTGATCCCGAAATCCTTCAGATGCCAATTTTGAATCAGATCAGACCATAATCAGAAAACCATATGCTACATCGTCCGCCATATTGGATCCGCCATTCTGTTTTTTCTATTCAATAATAATATCACAACCAATTGTCACCGGAATAATATCTACTCGCCAAATTTCAAATCAATCGGACGATTTAAAGTGAGTCAAATTTAACTTGCACGTTTTGATTACAAACAGACACAATAAGGACATGTTGAACTAAGTAAAAGCTTGTTATGTGAAGTATAGAACAAACAGAGTACCAGAAGAAGTGAATATGGTATAATCATGGAAGTCAAGCAACAATAAAGAGCGCGGTTAGTACTTGAATGGGTGACCGCTTGTGTCTACCGTTTGATGAAGTCGTTTATTTCCCTTTTTTTTTGCTTGTCTGCACTTGTTGCTAACTTCAGTGCACAGGTGAAAATCAACTGAAACTATGTGATTTTTCCGTAATTTGAAAGATCAATTTGAGGTCATGGACCAAAAACACCTAATAAAGACGTCTTAAAGACGTACATATTAGTGGAAAATATACGTTTTAAAGACGTCTTAAAGACGTCTCTTGGGCGTAATATGTACGTCTTTAAGACGTACTTATGTCCCGACATGTACGTCTTAAAGACGCCTTTAAGACGTACTTTGGCTGATTGGGTTGAAAAGGAATATGTTCTCAGATAAAATTATGAACATAAAAAAATGGATATATATGTATAAGTATACAGGGTGATCCAGGTTTTAAGGCACAAACTGAAATGAGAGATAGTAGATCTCATCATTTTAATCAAAGAAGTTTATATAAACTCACGATGATACGTTTTTGGAGGTAGAGGCTTCATTATCCTCTCCAAACTTTTTCGTAGTACGCCTCTGGCATCTTTCAGTGATCAAATTGTGTAGATCGTTCAATTTAGAGGATTTTGTTGCTCCTCAATTTTTTTCGAGAAACGAACCGTTTTTGAGGTAAATAAGCATATACGTTCGGATACATGTTAATTTTGCTTATGTTTCGCTTAAATTGTATTCTTTGACAAAATTTGTTGGGAAAAATGTTGTTTTACTCGAGTTTTTTCATCGAATGAAATATTTGAGTCGATGACCCCCCCTACCACCCCACTTCTTTTGATCCCTTACTCATGGGATACTCCGTATAGAATTCAATTCAGAATTCCTTTCCACGTCCTGTATGATGAATATCAATTTGCCATCCAAAATCATCTAGCCGTTCTTAAAATTGACTGTTGGCAACACTGTGTGGTTTACCCTTCGTGATGCCACCAATATTTTAGTCTGATAGTTTGATATTGTAATAGAGATTTTACTATACATGGAAAACCTATATTTTGGAACACGAAAAATATAGGATTTTTCAGATTGGGCGATTGGCGGGCCAAAAATGAAAATTGGCGACTTCGTCTCGAATATATCCTGCAACCCTGCTTGGATGAGCTCAAATCAACGTCCGTGTTTCGTTCTAGGGCTGGGCGTCCCGCCAGTGCACCGACAACGCCACCTGGTGGATCCCCGACGGGCTAACGGCCGCCTGGTCCAATCTGACGCAGTGCGGCACCTTCTTCGTCTACACGAACGCCACTGCGTTGCCGCCCGCCTTGCTCGACCCGATCTACCCCGTCTGGCTGCCCCGCATCAAGGCAGTTTCGTACTTCGGGTATGCCGTGTCGGTCGCTTGTCTCGTGGTCGCCATCTGCATTTTCGTCAGCATCAAGTGAGGAACACTGATATTATGGCGGGCGGCATCTTGTATCAATTATTTACTTGCGTCTGCGGAGTATGCGTCATAAAATGGAATAGTGGTGGGGACCTCCCGTAATCCCGGAAATAAACCTCTGGTGCGCTCACTCTTCATTTGTTTCGTCAGACTTGTTCTTGATATAAACAATTGAATTTCAGACGATGACGTGGGGTTCACATATCGAATGTTAGATGGCGTGATTCTTAGAACTTATAATCAAAATCAGTTCTACCAACCTTGATGCGGCTAAATCGTAATTTTGGTACGACACCAGACTAAATTTAGCGACATTCACCCACGCCATGTTATGTTCATCGAAGTAGGTGAAAATCAAGGAGTTGTGAAACAGGAAAGGATTGAAGTGCGTACACCAGAGGTTTATTTCATCAATCCGGTGACTTACCTAATATTCTTTGCCGTGTCAGTCATCTTCTTCAAGTTGAGGAAGAAAGTACTTCAATGATCTTGAACTGATAGGATAACCCAAAAAGAAGAAAATAGCATTTTTCTACAAGCGTGCATGATTCACCCTACACCCTACACCTGCACGCAATTTAGTTCGGGAAGTGTCATTTTCGCGCAACAGTGCGGGAAAAGCAAAGATATGAAAATATCGCAAAATATAAGTGGTTGGTGACGGAATATGAGAGTTTTAGTTTGTTTGTAGCAGTATTGAGTATGTATGTTCAGAATCATCCATCAAATTGCACTATTGATTGTGAAAATTGAGAAATATTGAAAAATAAGAATAGATTATTATAAAAATCCCCCTATATATAGATTTGGATTGATCTGAAGGGAAACGATTATTGTTGTCATGCCACTCAAACCTCAAATAAGTTTGTAATTGTCGAAGTGACAGACACAGCGTTACTGTCATTTTCGATTCAGTGGAATTGCCACAATGTGATCAAAAACTGCCAGCTATATAGGGACGCGATACAGATGAGTTATGGCCAACGAAGTCTCAAGAAAGGTATGAGGAGCAATACACGCGTTTAATTGAATGGTGCAATGATAAAGAAATGAAAATACCGAATAAAGAAGAAGTATTTTTGGCTCAATTCCTAGAAGTGTTCGAATACTAGAGACCATACACCTTGTGGGCCTGATGGCTTCCGCAATGAACCTACATAATAATGCGTCAAACTATAAAAGTTCACAATAGCAATTACTAATAATTAGTAGATAGAGAATATATTTCTCTTGTTAATTGTTCGTATTTGCTTCGAGTCGTTCGTTTCAACGGCAGTCGCGTGCGGGAATGAATAACTTTCCGCACTTGTTAGGAAAATTACTATTTCATGAATTTACATGGAGATGCAAAGACACAATTCTTTGAAACAACACAATCTAATTCGCCCACAAGAAACCTTCACTCTAGAAAATAATTTTGTTGAAACTGTTTGTCAACAGTAAATGCCTCCACAGTACTTTTTTCAGGAAGGAAGGAGAATGTCCCTTCTGCATAAAAAGATCACTACTTTTTTTAAACCATCTTACCTTACTCGGCCTGAATGAACCTTCTTCCTGAAAAGACAGTACTTTTTTTCAGAGAGGAAGGAAAATATCCCTCCTGCATTAAAAAGCACAGTACTTTTTCTAAACCATCCAACCTTAATCGGCCTAAGTGAACTGTCTTCCTAAAAATTATATTTTTCGGAAAATCACTTGAAAAAACAGAATTCAAAAAAGCCGACCGTTGCAGGCAATGAACCCGGGTCGCTGAAAAGCGATTCAAACGCATAGTCAACTACGCCAGGAGTCGTACTAACTGCGGTATGAAGAAAGAATTTAGTCGCTGTTCCCGCACTTATCGCGCTGATTATATCAGTTACCTCCTGTCTCTAGGTGCTAGTATTCGGATTCGAACGAAGAAGCGATAACTAGCAACGCTGCACTTCCCCAACCATCCTAAAAAGTATACTCCCTAGATGCTACTTAATCATTTGCCTTCGTGTCCCGTCGCTTATTGCAGTGTCACCGTTCGATATTTCAAGTTCACGTCACACTGGAACGAGTGTAACGATACTCCAAGGTTTGGCCTTGATACCCTCTGTTCATCATGGTCTAAGCCAATGATGGCTGAATATTTAGACTGTCTGACGGGTCGTCATTGGTCTGATGACTCAGGTTGTTTCGTGCATGTCATCTTCTGAGTAGTATTTCGATTCCGACAATCACTGATCCGTTTTTCATTCCTTGAAATAAAAACAAATACACCATGAAACTATTTTTTCAGGTCCATATATACACTAGGCTCATAGAGCACAGTGTATAGATACGTTTTCTCATTTTACTCCATAATATATAATTTCAAACCACAGTCAGAATTTCGAACAAAACCATTGCGCACGATCGACGACTATCCGAGGACTCTTTATAGCAGTGTGAGTCAACCAGTCAACCCATTTGAAAGCATATTTTGAAATATCTTTCAATTTCATATATTCTTTTGATTCTTCCATCGATTTTCAGGTGCTAAAATCATCAATATATGCCACGGTAATTTTCAAACGGCTAGAAATTTACCGCTAGTAAAAACTGACGCCACGATTTCGATAGTAGGGGCAGACCATCGCACAGTTGCCATGTACTAGGTGGGCCAAAAGAAATCACCCTATTGGAAGATGCTCTTATTTTTGCAAATGGCGTCCAATTTCAAATCTGTTTTGACGTTTGTGAACTAGACAGATCTAGAATACTAGTGAACAAGCCATGGAGCGAAACTTTCCCCAAGAACGCGGAATAATTCAAACCAAGCCATCCTCAATCTCACGGACAATTTTTCGACCAAAATCATAATGAGCGACGAGGCTCATTTTCACCTCAGCGGGTACGTGAACAAACAGAACTATCGCTTCTGGGGCACCGAAAATCCACGAGTGATGCACGAGGAACCATTACACCCGCTCAAAGTGACTGCATGGTGCGCTGTTCACTCTGGAGGAGTCATCGGGCCATTTTTTTCGAGGATACCGCTGGTCATCCGACAACAGTGGACGGTGCGCGCTATAGGAGTTTTTTTTGCCGCAATATGGGCTTATATCACAAAAAATTTTTATTTCATAATTCGATAGAACTCACCCAAACTAGCTCACCACCGCAAACCGTTTCTTGCTGTGAGCTCCCTACGTTTTGTAAAAAATTATTGGAATCCCCTCTGAAAACGAGGCGTTGATGTGACGTCAAAACCCTAATACTGAAACAAGACTATTCCAGACAGAGATGAATGAAACTTGATTTCTGAATTAGCGCGAGATCACAGTTGAAAGAATTATTATATCAGTTGCCTCAGTCTCCGTCGGGCGTTTGGTATTTTCTTTTAACTATGGCGAGATGAGGTTTCTACGTCATAAGAGGGTCCGTTTTCAGAAGGTATACTATTATTTATGTCCAAAAATAAAACATTCCAGTTAATTTTTCGATCGAATTATGTCGTCAATCATTATTTTTAATAAAGTTCTACTGAGATGTACACTCCCATTGAACGAATTAGGACTGGAAGACATGTGATTCCAACAGGACGGAGCACCCACACACACTGCGCGAGTGTGGCGTTCCCGGGTCGCTTCATCTCTCGTTTTGGCGATTTGCTCTGGCCCGCAAGATCGCCCGATTTAACCGTTCCAGACTTTTCTGTAGGATTTTTTGAAGTATTGTGTTTACTTGAACAACCCCGAAACCCTGGAAGCCCTCAAGGACAACATTTCACACGAGTGCGAGATTCTGTCACCCGAAGTTCTCGCCGAAGTGATGAAAAATGTCATAAAACGAGCCCGTATAGTAATCAATTGTGGTGGTGCCCATTTGGCCGATATCATCTTATCAACTTGACCAATAAAATTCTTAAGGTTCAAATAAACATAATCAAAAAACAGAATCGAAGCTCTTGATTTAGAAAAAAATGAGAGCCGAACAACATCGGATGACTTCTTTTGGTCCACCTTGTAGTATTGACAATTTTCCCAATTATCAATAAAAGTTTAATTGTCACAAAATGCTCATAATAAATTTTTGTCAATAATAATTATATTAATTCACACTAGAGGCAAGGCTAGAGGTCATTTGAATTGGTGACTTGACAAAATTGCTTCATGAGTATTGAAATGAAACATTATCCAATTACGTAACAGCATAAAAACTGAAGCCACCATTTATTCGACATATCGCCAAATGGCGGCCATGACGTTACGTTTGAAATGAGCTATAAAGTTCACCGATTTTGAACAACGCGACTTATTATTTACATAAAAAAAGCGTGAGAAATGTTGCGAAAATTAATTCAGGTTCCTAACAGAATGCCAATTATTCATCATCAGTCCACTCGCCTTGCATTAAAACATTCATTAATTTTTGAGTCAATATACGTCATGATATAACAAAAAAAATACTAAGAAACATTTTAATCTCAAATTGACTACTTATGTATTTTTTATAGGAGATTGCATTGCGCAAGGAATAAACTGCATCTGAACTTGTTCGTTTCATTCATACTGAGGTCACTGTTGTCAGTACTGAAAGATGGTCTATTCGTCAGGGGTACGGCTCTTCCCCAAGATGTTTTTTATGACGACGAAGGCCAGCCGAAATTCCCCGAAGACATCACCTATGTGAGTAATTAGCTTCAACCTCCCTTCCAACTTACATGTTCTTATTCACCTTTTGAGATTTTATTTGGATAAGTTTCATCCTCTCCTTTGTTTATGATATGTTTTTTTTTGTGACGGGAAAAAGTTTCACATTTCATCTCTGTTAACAGGTTATAAAATGTCACATTCCACGGGAAAAAAGTGAGTACTTTTTTCCCGGATATATACAAGGTGTCCCTAAAAGATCTATACAAAATTAGCACAATATTCCTGAAGTCAAAATAAGCTGATTTGAAGCAACTTACCTAAGTTCGTAATTGTTCCGATTCCGAGATACAGGGTGGTAGAGATAAAAAATAAAAATCGATAAGTATATACACTCCGAGAAAGTATTACTTTGAAAAATCCATTTTTGCACTGCTAATTGACCGATCAAATTTCATCCACGAAGATAACAGCAAATATTTTTTATTCGAAATGATTCAAATATTCCAGTGCTGCATCAAAAACTATAAACGTCGGGAATATCTGGAAATTGGCTTACTTTAGCGAATTTTCACATTAGTATCTTTTTTGCTTGAAAATGTTCGGAAATTAATTACCTCAACAAATAAAGTAAGAAACTACACCGAGAAAAAAGTGATGGCCATTCTAAACCATAAGAAGTCCATTGGTAAGCGCCCTCTAATGGCCACAGTGGAAATGTGTCCATATTCGTATTTTGCATCTCAAAACCCCTGGATATCCATTTTTGAATTGATACGTTTGAAATTGTTCATAAATTCTGCGAAGCTCGATTTTTATTCTTCAACTTCACCACCCTGAATCTATAGGAAACTGAGCAATTTTGAACTGAGTTGCTGCAGCTTATTTTGACCTCAGGAATATGTGTGCTAAAATTGTGTACAGACCTTTCAGGGACACTGTTGATTGCTTTTGTTGTGCTACTTCCGAAAAATAAGCCATATAACACCGTCTCCGAGAAAGAACTTCAAGTCCTTTTATCTTCCATTCGACCTCACGGTTACTTATGAATTACTAAACGAAATCACAGAATTAGACTGACAAATATTTAATTACTCAAAAGAATGATACAGATGCCCGCAAAAAGATGCCTACACGCAGGTGTAATTTTACTGTTAAAAACGTTTTCCACGTAGATAATTTTCTGATTTTAATATCGTCTCAATATTGATTCGTCCTTTTTCCTGTCACAGAAAAAAATAGAGCATACACGGGAAAAATATTAGATTTTAGCTCACGGTTTTTTGTCGGGAGACAACACAACCTCGATCTAAAATTTACTACTTTTTCCCCTTGTATAATAAAATATTATTTTATTTGTTCTGGAGTCTCTTGCGTTTTGAACTTGATATTTTACCTCTCATAAGTCATATTCATTCGTTCATATACTATATTGTTCTGAGCACGTTTAATCAAAGTAGTAGTTTTCAAATTTTCAAATTTCAAATGATAGATTCTACCTCTCAAGTTACAATAAGTGATAGATTTTACCTCTTAAGTTTGAAGTAGTGAGTTTCCCCGTCAACGGAGTTGCTTCTTTTCATAACCATTCATCTGGCTGTTTCTCTGTTGTTCAACTAGTCCTGGGTGTGTAAAGCTATTGTCAGCATCAGGTACTATTTCATCTTGGCGAATTTCGTGTTTATGTTGATGGAAGGACTTTACCTACACAATCTGATGTTTCTGAAACTGTTCTCTGACAACCACAAGGTGCATATCTACTGCTTGATAGGTTGGGGTGAGTAAGAATAATAAAATATGCTAGACTTGCGTGAATCATTTTTTCCTGTGCAAGTAATATTAGTTGATAATATTTTAGGACTACCTGTATTTTTTCTTGTCCCATGGATAATCCTAAGGACCGTATTCGAAGATGTGATATGCTGGACTGAAAAAGACAACCCTTATATAACTTTAATATTTATTGACGTCCCCATTGGTACTACCGTTGTGGTATGTTATATTCACTGTGTTCTTTTCATTTTTCAGATGAGTCGAATAGTTTTTTTTTATTTCAGATAAATTTCATTTTGTTCCTGATTATTGTAAGAGTCCTCACCGTTAAACTCAACAGTGTATGGATACAACAAAGAAAAATGAAATACAGGTATGAACATAGAAAGAAAATTGAAAAAAGCTGCCCAAAAATAGTATCTTGTCAATTTGTTTTTCAAGGAAGTTAATGAAGGCGACCTTGATTTTGATACCTCTATTTGGAGTGCCATACTCTTTTTCTCTTCTGATGTCGATTTACACAAAGCAAAGCCCTATGTTGGACATAATATGGTTGTTGTTCGATCAAGTATTTTCTGCCTTTCAGGTAAGAAACCTTTATTTAATTCTGTTGCGGTAAATTATCTCAAGAAATTTGAAGGGACAAAAAGCAATAGTTATTAAAGTGTTTTTACTTTATTTATATATACATTCACAGCAGAACTATATTCTGATAAATGTGTGGTTACAATATATAGTAAAATAACTTTTCCTGTTCGACCTCCATTTATATATTTTGTATAATTTTTCTCTAACTACTTGTATTTCATAATAATGGAAATTCATTATCTTTCATTCGACTCCGCGGTTACGTAGATTAGTAAACAACCACTAATTCGCAATTTATTGAAATCAAATCACAGAATTAGACTGACAGATATTTGATTACTCCAAAAGGACGATGAAGATGCCTTCAAAAAGATGCCTGCAACGTATTATACTGTTTGAAACTTCGAATTTCACGTCTATAATTTTCTGATTCCAATATAACGTAATATCTTCTCAATATTTGTTCGTCCTTTTTCCTGTCACAGAAAAAAATAGTGAATCATACACGGAAAAATACTATATTTCAGCTCACACAACCTGGAGCTGAAATGTACTACTTTTTTCCCTACCATAAATAAATATTATTTCAGAATATCGATCGTGAGCGTATAGTGAAATGCTTATAACTAGGCATCTTAGCGTATAGCTATCGGGCGGACATTTTCTGTAAACTTGTTATTTGTTGCGTCCTGTCTCTTTGCTTCCTGTCTCTATCTCTAGCTCTAGATGCCTCATATCAGGTCTGATCAAATTCGTGCTAGCAATGACGGCTAAATATCTAGACTGTCTAAGCCTTAGATCACATTCCTGTATGGTCTAAGGTCTAATGCAGCGCCCTCTGCGCAGTATTTGACTTGACAGAATGGACGAAAGAAAAGTATTTCCGGTCTATATACAGGGTCTTTTCGCCGCCTTGGTCTACTGCCTACTGAACAGCGAAGTGCAAACAGAGATCAGGCGCAAATACAGCTCGATGAAGGATCGCAGCGACAGCAGGGAGTTCCGGAGGAGCAGGACGATTTCCAACACGCAACAATGTTCGTTGCCCGTCGAGGAGGCTGCGGAAAATCTGCAGGATTTCGTCTTGGACAAACGTAACCCGCAGGAAGTCGTCATCAATAAAGAGCAGAAAGAATGCTACTTTTGAAATATATACTTATGTGATATTTGTGTATATCGACATTGCAATTCGCTTTGAATCTTTATTGTTAATGCGATGTTGTGTCATTTTCGTAATGTTCTCGAATAAAATATAATATATTCGTAAATATACGACAGATAGACAAATGGGCGTCATATTCAGTTCGATTTTCATATCAGAATTTCGAAACTCGAATAACGGTGATATATTTCCTGGAAACCCCTATTTTCCATGAAGAAACAATTGGGTATTGGTAAGTTAATTATATTTTCATAATATTATATATCATTGTATTATTCATCCGATTTGAAAGAGAATGTCATTTATCAATTTCAGAGAATTTTAATTTCATTTTCTCTTTTTGGATGTTGTGAGAGATTTAACACGCTCAGCTTTTTATTGTTCTGATGCGGAAATAAAAGCAAAATATTTATTTACATAACATTTGAAAAACTGAACAAATTTATATAAACACTTATTCGTATCTATGCTATTCAAACAATGGCACTATTTGTTGCATGGTACGTTTCTTTTTCTGCAACCTACACAAAAGTCGTCCATTTTGATACCAAAATTAGCTCTTGTATTGACGTTTCTATACTGACACAAAAATAGGTATATGTTGCTAGGCAACATATTTATATAGTTTCTAGGAGCTTTGAACTTTAGGTCCTAGGAACTATAAAGGATGTGCTAGACGTCATCAAGAATAAACAACATTGTTACGGTTGGTTATTTGGATTGGGACGCTATACCTCTGATTTGTTTCCGATTTCGGCAGATTTGGCATTTATTCATGTACCCATGCAGGAGATATAAATATAATATGAATGATTTCAATTTTTCAATTATCTTTTAATTGAGAATAAAAACAATGAGAGGCGTAGATAGTGTATAAAGCATTTTATATCTGTACATTAATGACCTATATATACTTCTTGATGTTTATTTGATAAAATGAGTACCATTTCCTATTTAGATTTTTCGAGAAAATTCAAGAATTAACAGTAGGAATCCTGATTGGCGACAAAAAAATGTTAGCATGTTTCATCAAAAACCAATCAGAGAGTGCTTCATCTTTTTGCCATTTCATCAGGTTGCTTGAAAAAAAAAAAGAACGATCTATGACGTCACAGTGTCGCCATATTGGTTTTTGACAAAATAAGAATCTACTACTTTTTTCCGTAGTATAATAAATAACTATTTAGCTGTACCGAATGGCGTGAAAATATATACAAGGTTCATTTTGAAATTCTTTATCTGAGTCAATTTCTGGTTCAATCTCATGGAAAATAATAATATAGCGTTTTCAAGAAACTTGCCCTGTCCAATGATCTCAATATGGCACCCGGTATAATCAAGTTCATTTTCAAATATATGATTGTAATTGTTTAGAGCAGAGTATCATAACGTGAAATAAGTATAAAAGGAAGAAGAAGAAATCAACCTTTGAAATAAAGTGAAAGTGAGGTTAGTGTTAAGACGTAGAGAGGTAGTGAGTTTATAAATGTTGTCATCTGTTTGATGAATATGTCCTAATTAATAAGAGCTGTGATCAACTGAGAATGGAGGAAAATGCACTTGCTTTCATACCGTCCAAAGCTTCTGCATTGCAGAAAAACAGCGAATTTCATGCAGTAGTATATGAATCCTATAAATCCAAAAAAACTACAAGGGTTCCTGAAATAGTTCCTGAAGAAATATCACCAAAAAAAGACAGATTATTTGACATTAAACGGGCCAAACAAGAGGTAATCAAATTTGGTACTTCTGGTTTTGATTCCCAAAAAAAGGAGGAAGCCAAAATAAATCTGTTGATTAAGTTAGGTATGTATTTTATTTGAACTTCAAGAAGTATAAAATGGTGATTGAATCCAAATTTTTTTGATGAATGTAGGTTTTCAACTGTCATTATTTATAATTTTGAATATTTGTAGGTGCCAAACCACCCAAAAACAAAAATCAAAACTATAAATTGCTCCTGACTGAGAAGAAGAAAAAAAAGGAGGCAGAACTTAAACTTGAAACTTTTCAACAACTAGGTAAAAATAAATTTGGGAAATCCAATGCAAAAGGAAAGAGTTTTGATAGGAAGCGTAGGAAAGGAAAAGGAGATCTTCTTGATATTTATGGAAAAGTGAAGGTACTTTTTATAGCATTTTTATTGAGAAAATTCTGAATGCATTGATAATTCTTTCAGATGATCCAAAAACCTCAAGGAATAAGGAAGGAGATGAAATAATTGCTACTACCTATATATTATTTGAAATTTATATTGTATTGTCTGGAGTATTGTCTCCTGGAAGTTGTATTTACTCATATTTTCCAATTTTTCTTTTTTTTTTATTGGAAGCTAAATTTGTAATGAACAACATGTACAGCAACTATTAAACACATTTATGAAAAGAAATACATTTATCAAATGTTACTAGGATTCCCAATAGAAAATAACACGTCGCCCCATCTGACGGCAAATACTTGAACACTTCTGAGTGGTTTGTTTTGAAGGATTAACCCAAAAAACAAATGTGAACCAATGGAAACATGTTAAACAAATTAACAAACTGCTCTGACAGCTTTTGAAAATTTCCATAGGAGCATTTTATATTCCCGGGGTATGGGTACTTAGTCACTGCCAGTCGACCATTCAATTATTTCAATTTGTTTGTTTTTTGATATTTGTGATGTTATTTGTTTTCATCTGATATTTATCAAGTGGACTTATCTTTTCAATGTGGTGTTTAATTCTTGTTTTCCCAACTTCCAAGGATTTTTGTAGATAATTTACAATTGTTTTCACAACAATTGAAATATTCTACAGGTATATATTAATATAAATGCTCTCCATATTATTTGTCTTCAAGAATTTTTAAACAGTGCATTTTGATTCTGATAACCTACAGCATAGACCAGATAATAAAGTGGAGAGCAGCACCATGTCAACTCAAAAAGTAGCTATTGTAAGTTAATATAATACAACTTCCAGATACTTTCCATTAGTTACATCAATTTTAATAGGTAACTGGTAGCAACAAAGGTATAGGCTATGCCATAGTGAAAGGCCTGTGTGAAAAATACAAAGGCCTAGTGTATCTAACTTCTAGAGATGAAGGCAGAGGCAAAGCAGCTATAGAAAAATTGAAGAAACTTGGCTTCAATCCCTTGTTCCATCAGCTGGACATTCTGGACCAGACCAGTGTGGATACCTTCAGAGATTATATCAAGGAAACTCATGGGGGTATTGATATATTGGTAAATAATGCAGCCATTGCTTTCAATGTAAGTACATTCAGATTTTTTTTCAAAAGTATTTTTTCTTGGAGTGTTATTTATAGGTAGATGCCAAAGAGACAATAGGTGTTCAGGCTGAGGAAACAATTAAAGTAAACTATTTTGGCACCCTCAGAGTCTGCCAAAGTCTGTTTCCTTTATTGAGAAACAATGCTAGGGTTGTGAACATTTCCAGTTCTGCAGGAAAACTGGCTAGGATTCCCTCTGCTGATTTGAGAGCAAAATTAAGTAGGAAAGATTTGACAATTCCTCAGTTGAATGAACTTGTTGAGAAATTTGTAAGGTGAGTGAAAATTGTTATGAAAGTTTAATTTTATGTTATATTTTTTCTAGTCAAATTTTTTTGTTTATGAGATTGTTAGGTAGGTATACCTAAGGTGTAAGCAGTTTCATGATTATTCATTGTTTAGCACACCCAACACAGTTGATTGCAAAATATACAGGGTGTCCCATAATTAGCATGCAATACTTCACCAGCAGATTTCATGGTAAAAAATGAGGAAAAATTGCCTATAAACATAGGTCAAATAATATTTCATAAGAGAGCTACATCCCCCTCAAGATGGTTTTTGATTTATTTCTTTTAAACTGTTCATAGCACAATTATGACATTTTGCAAGTCTTTCATGCCTAATAATATGGGATAGTAATAATTCCAAAATTTCATCCAGAAATGGGTCAAACTGTGGGGGTAAAATAACCCAAACTTTTTTGGTTGCAGTTTTTTTTAGAAATTTTGACACTATTATTATCACATATTATTAGACATATGAAGATTGGCTGATATTCAAAATTTCATGATTCTGCTGTCAACAGTTTGGAAGATATAAAATAAAAATAAACTTCAGGGTACCACCTTTGATAGGCTGTAGCTTGCTTATGAAACATCATTGGGCCCATGTTCATAGAAACTTTCTTCTTATTTTTGATGGAAAAATCTGCTGGTGAAGTATTGCACGCTAATTATGGGAGACCCTGTATATTCAACTAGACTGACGAAAACTGGATAATCTGTTGTTTATGGATATTTTACTATGAGAAATTGGGAATAAAAATGAAGTATCAGTGTTACCAATACCAACAAAAAATCAATAGCAAAGCTTGTAATGCAAAAGTTTTTGTAATTATGTGATTTATTGAAAAAAACAAGGATTCACAGCAACTGATGATAACTTGAACTTTTTGAATATTCTCAGGATATCATATAGGTATGATGAAAATAATAATAGAACCTTAACTGTAAAACATTTGGAAAACAGTTTGAATAAAATACAGATATTGGGGAAATGTCTGAAAACAAGCATTTAGTATTTTCAGTTCTGTGCTTTATTTTCAAATAAATTTACCCCTTACAGCATGAATTTGGCAACAATCAAAAATTGCTGGAAAAATTGGTATATTTTCTATTATAATTTGAACTTATTTTCAACTAAGTATTCAAACTGCAAAGACATTATTTTTGTTTGTAACATTTCTCGAAATTTTCGAGATTTTCTCTTTTCCTATATAAATGAAAATAATAGTAACAATTAAATCAATATATTTGTAGTAAGAACAAATCAAATCTACTATGGATGGAATATTCTTTGGGATTCTAAATGTGGAAATTTGATTTGTCCTTTTTACTAACATATTATCAAGGAAAATTAATACCATATACTTCATCCAAAAATACCCAGACATTGAAAATTACCAGATTTCCCAACAAAATGCAAACTAATCAGGAAAATGACATAAAAATCAGAGAGTAAAAATCACTGAGTCTGATGATATACCACCATCATTACCAACACTAACAGTTATAATGTTATAAATACCACAATTTTCGAAACGTCAATTATAATAGAATGACAGCTTACCACCAGCATTACCAACACTAACAGTTATAAATGTCACAATTTTCGAAACGTCAATTATAATAGGATGACAGCTAACTCAACTCATAAAGCCATTTCTACCTTGAACAAGAGAGAGGAAAGTTTACTTCTCTTCCATCTTTCTCTTCAGTGCTACCAACGGCCGCGTTGGAATATAGAGATGTCCGATAAATGTTTCCTTGTCTAACATCTAATACGTGCCACTGAACTATTTTTTGATTCAGCGGTGTCAAGTTTAACGATGATATTAACAAAGGATGTCAAAAAGGTATATGATATGATTTTAGATTTTATTTTAAAGATTCGAAACGTTATTAGTCAAATGACATTTATGACATAGACATGTCAAATCATATATATATAACTTTGAAAATAGTTAAGTGGCGCAAGGGCGCAGACTAGACGTTAGACAAGGAGAGAGAGATAGGATATCTCTATATTTAAATGCGACCACGTTGATAGCACTGAAGAGAAAGATGGAAGAGGTAGAGGAGAGTAGGGTCCCTTGATGTAAATTGACGTATTTGTCATCTTAACAGGGTACGGACAGATTCTCGTCTCCTCTCACTCTAAAGTGTTTGTGAAACAGTTATATAGTTCCATCTTCATTAATTTGGATAAACACTAGAATGCTGACATTTGTTGTTTTTTAGGTTATATTGAGGACATTGGCGTATCATACGTAATTTCCACATGTAATTTCTCATTCAACTCTACATATTATATTCAAATGATGATGATAATTTTCGAGTTTTTGATTTTTCAACTACAGCATAATCTTTGTGAGGCAGTGAGCAAATTTTTCTGAAATTTTAATACATTTTACCAAATGGGATTGTTCTTAGGCAGTAACAATCAATAAATGAATTTTGATTTCAGGCTAAGCCTTACGGTTGAGAAATGGTGAAAAATGTTATGTAGGTATTCAAACTAATGTGCTCATATGTCATGTGTGCTGTAAATATTCATGTTTGGAATCATTTTTGCAGTTTTTCACGAACACTTAATATTTCCTGAATGTAGGTATAATTTTTTGAATGGTAGGGCATATGCCTCTTCTCTTAATCCTCCGTTTTAATCAAACTGTTTCTACTTAATTGCATTCAAAAATTTGTGGAGTAGATAATTATATGCACAATGAGAAAGTATAATATGTGATTTCATATTAGTTTTACCTCGAATATTTTGCTCATGTATTTACCAATTTTCCCCATTCGGTCACTTCACTTTCCATGTTATAAGTTCATTTGCATTTGATGGAAAGCTGACAAATTCAAATTTGCCAGCTAACTGATTGATAGAGCTTAACGCACGCAGCACATTTTACCATCCTTCCAAGACAGTATTGAATAATGTCGTATTAAGATAAAGTATGAAATTAAAATTTTGTAAGATCTCTTTTAACGCCTATGGATATGTGACGTGACAGCAATGTCATGTCAGGGACGCCAATATACGAAACCAAAGTCACTATAGATGATTAAAAGAGAAAGAAAAGAAGCTATGATCCGCCCCTACTCTGATAGATGACAAATACGTCGGTTTGCATCAAGGGACCCTAGATGAGAGTAGGAGAGAACTTTCCTCTTTCTCATCCATAGTAAAAAAGAGCTCAATTTTCGTGAAAAAAAAAACATCAAGCCAAGATGATCTTAGGGCCGCCAAGGAGGGCAAAATGCAGCAAGACGGCTGGGGTAGCTCCACCTACGTCGTTTCCAAGGTGGCCCTCACGGCCCTCACCTTCATCCAGCAGAGGCAGTTCGATGAGGAAAAGCCCGATCGCCACGTTGCCGTCAACGCCGTCCATCCGGGCTACGTGGACACCGACATGACCAACCACAAGGGCCCCCTTACCATCGAGGAGGGCGCCAGGGCTGCGCTGTTTCTCGCTCTCGAGGCTGAACTGAGGGGGCAGTTCGTTTGGGAGGATTGTACGGTGGTCGATTGGTATAATTAGGATTGTCGGGAATGTTCGAATTTGCTCTCTGAATACTGATTTGTCTACTTTCTACAAGGAAACAGCTAAGGTTTTGTTGTTGAATAAAATGATTACTGTTGAATTTTTCTTTATTTTTCCTTAGTACACACAGGGTGTTGTGGAATTGGACCGACAGTGCTTCACAAATATATGATACAGCGTTTGTGATTGTTATTGAGAAAATCTGTAGAAATCAACACACAATAACTCATGAATTCTCTACTGCATCTATATGTTCTCTTCAAAACGTTGTACATGGTCTTAATAAATTTTCAACCCTACCTGTACAGCTTCAACTATAGGAGGTGTAAAAAAATTCAGAAATGATTAAATGCCATGGAAAAATGGATTTTTTGACATATCTGTTGCTGTTTTCAATTATTAAAATGGTAAAACTGCATTTAGCATGCGATGGGTTTTTTTTCGAAAATTTTTTTTGGTACTTACGTATTTTTGTCTGAAAAACACGAATTTGATAATGAAAATGTGAACAAACCACTATTTATCGAGATATTTCAAAAAAAAGTTCGAAATTTCGACTCCTTTTTCCCCTTGCGTTGGATGCATTTTCAGGTACTTGCTCTTCTTATTTTGTCATTGAACACTTTATATACTCATGATGTACTTCAATGACACATTTTTATACAGAAAATTCAACAGGAAATATGATTTTTATGGTGAGTTTTTCCTATTTAGTGAGCAAGCATACCAGATGACGGCCATTTTATCCATAGGCAATCCAAATACGAGATGTCAAATGTCAATAGATTGCTTTGGAATGACATTACACAGGCCATTATTTCAAATGATATTCTTCCTTCTTTTCAATAAATATGGATAAATCACAAGAAAATCATATTTCTAGTTGACTCAATAATAGAAAAAAATGTGTCTTACATTGTGATATATATATAAATTGTCCAATGATGAAAAAAGAAGGGTGAATTGTTTGAAATTCAATCCAGAAGACAGGCGGAAAAGAAGGTGAAATTTGAAACTTTATAGTGAAATATCTTGATAAATAATGGTTTGTTCACATTTTCATTATCAAATTCGTGTTTTTCAGACAAAAATACGTAAGTACCAAAAAAAATTTTCGAAAAAAAACCCATCGCATGCTAAATGCAGTTTTACCATTAAAATAGGTTATTCCCTAGAGGAAAAATACAAAATGGTAGGAAAAATTTTGAATTTTGTCAAAAGTGACTTAGAAACATTAGCAAACTATATACAGTGTGTGTCTCACTTCTAATGGACACACCCTTATTGTATATTACATAATCATTGGGTAAGTTGGGTATAACCTATTCACCATAGAAATAACACGTTGTCCGACCTGACGGCAGCAACTTGAACACTTCTGAGCGGTTTGTTTTAATGATATGACCAATAAGAACAAACAAAAAACAAATGTGAACCTATGAAAACAAAGTAAACATGTCCCTCTGACAGCTTTCAAGAACTTCGATAGATGGCGTACGCTTATTTTCTATCGCGAATGGAATAAATAGGTTGAAAATCACTTCATATACGGACGCCCAATTCACTAACTATCCATATTTCAGTTCTGAAAAATTAATTTTTGTCTCATTTTTTCAACAAAATCGATGGGTCTTGAGATTTGCTGGAGTGAGAGATATGGATAAAGTGGCCCCTCACTATAGAGGAGGGCTCCACTGTTTCTCGCTCTGTATGGTCGTTGATTGGTATAATACGGATGGGATAACTAATTGCTTCCTGAGTACTAATTTGTTCATGGATATTTATTTTCTACAAAGAAAAAGCTGAGTTGTTTATTATTGAATTTCTCTTAATTTTCTCCCAGTAATACATACCTACAGGGTGTTGTGAAATTCGATTGACCTTGCTATACACAGCATGACCCCAGCAAACATAATATGTTACATAACATTGTAGTTTAGCAAAATTGCAGATTTTGCAACTGATAAATGAATGTTATTGCACATATTTGTTCTGACTGAACGTAATTATACTTTGAGACTGCTTTGTTAACAAAAAATCTAATAGCGAATTCCATTCGTAAACCTGGTGGAGCACTGCGGTTTCGCACCAGTTTTGCACCCGCACTAAGTCAGTTCTCTCCAAAATGTGATCTGGTGCATTCCCAATGGAATACGAAATAATATGACAAAATGTTATTGTTGGAGGTTAAATCGGATAAATTGGTTTGTCATTGTTCATAACTTGTCCGTATCCTGAAATTCTTTCTCGACTTCAATTGAAAACGGAGTGGATGTTTCATGAAAATGATTCTGAGCAGTTTTTTTCAATGAGAAACTCTTTTCATCATTGAATTTTGGTGCGAACACACTCAACAAAATTATGAATTCTGGGCAGTAGTCTCCTTTATTTTCTTGAAATCTCCAAATTTTCATCACTACTTGATGATGATGATCAGATTGCCACTTAATTTCAGTTTTCAAACTGAGCATATTCAATGTTTCCGCCATTTTCGAAAGTGCACCTACTTCGCACGACCTATTAGAGCTCGTGCGAGAATTGTTGCACTGAGCTCTAAACTATGTGAACCAGTTTTCCAATGGAATTCAAAACCCGGCACCAGTTTTACCAATGGAATACAAAATATGCACTTAGTGCGACCCAGTTTTACCAATGGAATTCGCTATAAGATGCAGTGCGATAATTATTTCAGGATAATAACCAAAACATGTCCATTTGATTAACTACATCATTATTAAAGTTGTGGAGATGACTTATGAGCTTTCCTTCTTCCCTTTAGACATTTTATTGTCTCAAAAACCTCCACGCAGTGGCTATGGATATAATAAGGATATATATGTGTACTATTTGGACTATTTTTCCAAATCTCAATTTGAACAAAATGAGTACCTACTTGATGTTTTGCTGCAAATAAGAGCTGGAGGAGATGATTTCTATACATCACACGCGGATTTCAGTTGCAAAATTACTTCCATATAGGACTTTTTATTACAGTTACTGCCCAGTGTTTGCTGGGATTGTGATTGTTGAGATAATGGGTGTTAAGGACATCATTGTTTTTTCACAATAACTGAATGTTTTGATTTATCACATTCATATTCAGTGTATATGTAACAAATATATTGAGAAGTCATATTTTCCACTTCCGGTTTCACAGGAAATGGCTTGTTTTAATTTTTTTTGAAAACCCTGTATATTTGTGACATTTTTGATTTCTAGAAAACTGTATCATAATTTGCCGTTTTTTTTTCTCAAGTTTTTATTACTCATTTTTTTAGAAACTAAATATTTTAGGAAACTTTTTTCAGACTGCTCATAATTTTCAATCCATTCCCCTATAAATAAATATCCTTAGATTCATCACCACCAATCATGGCCACCTAGATGCAATATTGAAAGTGACATGAAAGTGACTATAAAAAGAAAATGTTAGAAACTTTTCAAAAATATCATATTCTGATCCAGAATTGTGTATCAGAATCCTAAAAATGTAACAATATACCTAAGGTGTTCCTCAATTTTGATAAAACCTAATAATCTAAAAGTTATGACTTTACTCAGGGAGTCTTGGAATCATGGAAAAATAATATATCATGTCCTGAGAGATATGGTAGCTAAATAACAACTGGGTACAAAGGGCCTAATCAACTTCAAGTTCTTTTTATATTCATTAGCAATGGCACTAGCTTCAGGTCTGTAGAATCTAACAACAAGAATCAAGTTTCTAAAGCAGCCCTCTCTGAATTCTAATGACCCATATGCAGAAATGAAGTCCCCATCACTTGGTATGTCCCTCAGCATTTTCATATCTACTTGAATGAACTTACTGTCAGAACTGTTGTTGACTAGACAGTGTCCATAGTTTTCATGAAATTTCAGAATGGCCACTAAATGACAATTGCTGTTCTTTGGGAAACAAGTGTGTGAAAATTCCAGTAGTTCATCAATGCTTCTGTAAACATATGGCCTATTCTCAGATCCTACACTGGTGGAATCAATTTTGATATTTTCTTTGAATTCTTCCCTTGTATCTATCCAGTGGTCTTCAAAATGGTTTACAATTCTGGTTTCTCTTTTTATTCTTCTTTTTCCTCGTTTCTGTAATTTTCTAGGAGGTGTTTCATATATTATATCATCACTAGAAGACATTTCAATGCAAGGTCTATTATTTCAATGGACATTGTTCAAAAAAATTCAATATCTTCTTCTTCTTCCTTTCAATTTGAATGGCCTTAGCTGCCTGGGCTATCTGGCCAAAAAAATGCAATATTCGCCAGTTAAGATAAACATCTTCTTTATCTTCTTATTTTATTTAATAGGAAACTGGAAAAGTGAGATGCTCTCTATTTTTGTTTTTCCTACTTGATATGAATCTCCCTGTACTGTCTTGTTAGATTTTACTCAGTTGTCAATGTCACGTCTTGAGTATGATCATGTCTAGTTTTTTAGTTGATTAAAGCCAAGTTCTTCGTTGGTAATTCGTTCATTACGTATCAATTTAATCAACTAAAAGTAACTCAGAATGCCTCAAGAAAATAGCCTATCCGTTGCGGGTTCATCGATGTCAAAATATCTACGACCCGATAAGTTTGATGTGGAACCTAATGATTCCGATGCGGACTCTAAATGGATCTATTGGAAATCCACGTTCGAGAATTTTCTAGCTGAAGAAGCTCCTAAAGATACATCCGACTCTCTGAAGTTGAAACTACTAGTGAGTCACCTCTCAGCCACACTATTCAAACACATCAAATCCTGCAAGACTTTTGATGAAGCTCTAAATGTACTAGAAGGTATCTATATAAAACCAAAAAACACAATACTGGCTCGTTACGTGTTGTCGAATCGAAAACAACGATCAGATGAATCCATTTCTGACTACGCGAGAGCGTTGCGGCTATCGGCACAAGACTGTCGCTTCATGGCGGTGACTGCTAAAGAACATGAGGACCAAGCAATCCGTAGTGCCCTGATTTCAGGCCTTCAATCGAAGAAAATAAGAGAACGTCTTCTGGAGAACTCACAACTTACTCTAGACGAAACACTTAACCAAGCTATAGCTCTTGAAACAGCCGAAAAAGATTCCCGTGAAATGAGCAGCAGCTGCCCGCTACTCAATGCCGTACCTGATCGTTCATCGAAGGATGTGCCGATGTCAGCGGATTTAGCTGCGACTTCTCCACAAATGACACGGAACGCACCCTTGTCGTCACAGTCGACAAGAAGATGCTTCTTTTGCGGTGGAAATGTTCATCAAAGAATCAAATGTCCTGCCAAGAATGCTATTTGTCAATTGTGTTCGAAGAAAGGTCACTTTGCGAGTGTATGCAGATCTGGAAATGCTACCAGCAATGCTATACCTGCCGAGAATACGACAGATATTTACTCTCATGCCACTGGACAGTCATGTGCTGGCGCCATTTCCGCAGCCTCTCCATCGAGCCTAAGGAGTGCGACTATTCCAATCAGAGTGAACGAATATAAAGTTGACGCACTCATAGACACCGGCAGCTCTGTCAGCTTCATCGACAGAAAGATTGTTCGTCTGATGAAGCTACAACAAAAACCCTGTAGACAAACTGTGAATCTTGCATCCCTCAATCATGTCTCTTTTGTTAAAGGGTTATGCTTTGCAACAATCACTATGAATCAGCATACGTATAAACAACGCCCTCTTCTCATCGTAGATGATCTTTGTGCTGATGTTATCGTGGGTCATGATTTACTGAAGGACCACTCAAGTCTTCAATTCAAATTTGGTGGTCCGAAAAAGCCCTTGGAAATATGCAGTGTGACGGAAGCTACAGTCCCGCCAGCATCAATTTTCACTAATCTCTCACCTGACATCAAACCGATCGCTGTCAAGAGCAGACGCTATAGTAATGATGATGAAAACTTCATTGCTATAGAGATATCAAAATTACTAGAAGACAAAGTGATCGAACCCAGCGTCTCACCTTGGCGAGCACAAGTCCTAGTGGCTGGTAGCGGTTCTCACCGAAAACGTCTAGTGATAGATTACTCCATGACGATTAATAAATTCACTGAATTAGATGCGTATCCTTTGCCGCATATCGAGACCATCGTGAACAATGTGTCGAAATTCAAATTGTTCAGCCAAATCGACCTCAAATCGGCTTATCACCAAGTACCTATTCTCGAACAAGAAAAGAAATATACGGCTTTTGAAGCTTGCGGTAAACTCTATCAATTTACGAGGATACCCTTCGGTGTTACCAACGGGGTAGCAGCATTTCAACGAACTCTAGAATTCGTTATATCGAAAGAAAAACTACAAGGTACCTATGCATATCTGGATGACGTTACGGTTTGCGGCAGGAACGAAATAGAACATGACTGTAACCTTAAAGCATTTCTAGCTGCAGCAGAAAAATACAATCTAACTCTCAACGAACAGAAGTGCGTTTTCAAAAAGGACAAGATCAACCTTCTTGGGTATACAATAGAAAACAATACCATTAAGCCCGATAGTCAGAGGTTGAAATCTTTGCAAGAACTTCCAGCTCCAAGTAACATAGGCGAACTGAAACGAGCTTTAGGGTTGTTTGCTCATTATGCAAAATGGGTGGAGAGATTCTCGGATAAGATAAAACCACTTACTTGCAATACTACATTTCCTTTGTCGACCAACGCCCTGAAATGTTTTGAAGAACTGAAATCCGATATAAAAAGAGCCACTCTCATAGCAATTGATGATGATGAAATACTTACAGTTGAGACTGACGCTTCTGAAGTAGCAATATCAGCTATACTATCTCAGCATGGTCGTCCCGTAGCTTTTTTTTCTCGTACGCTATCGGGCTCAGAACAGAAACAATCATCGATAGAAAAAGAGGCTTGTGCCATTGTAGACAGCTTGAAGAAATGGAGACACTTCTTAATAGGAAAGCATTTCCTCCTAATAACCGATCAACAGTCAGTAGCGTACATGATGAACCAAAATCATAATAGTAAAATCAAAAATGAGAAGATATTGCGCTGGCGATTGGAACTATCATGCTACAAATACGACATAATGTACCGACCAGGCCAAGAAAACACTGCGGCTGACGCCTTATCTCGAGTTTGCAGCTACATGAATACGAACAAGCTTAGTGAACTTCACAATGCACTTTGTCATCCAGGCGTCACCAGGATGTTTCACTGGATACGATCCAAAAATCTACCCTACTCAGCTAACGACGTTAAGGAAATGACGGCTTCATGTCGAATATGCGCTGAAATAAAGCCACGGTTCATGAAAATCAAGGGTCACCTGATAAAAGCCACTTCGCCTTTCGAACGAATAAATATAGATTTCAAAGGACCCCTACCATCCAATACAGGGAAGAGATTTATATTAACAATTATTGATGAGTACTCCAGGTTCCCGTTTGCGTACGCCTGTAAGGATATGACTTCGACCACCGTCATAAATTGCCTGAAAGATCTTTTTCTCACTTTTGGGCAACCGTTATATATACATAGTGATAGAGGTTCTTCCTTCATGTCTGAAGAGTTCAGAACCTTCTTGAAGAACTCGAACATAGCTTCTTCTAGGACGACTCCGTACAACCCACAAGGAAATGGACAAGTGGAGCGTCTTAACGGAACTCTCTGGCGTACCATACAACTTAGTCTCCGATCCAAGAATCTGCCTATAGAAAACTGGGAAGTAGTAATGAAGGATGCGCTGCACTGTGTACGCTCACTTTTGTGCACCTCGACTAATACTACACCACATGAGCGGCTTTTCACTTATGCACGGAGATCCCCTAACGGAGACTCATTACCTACCTGGTTGACACCGGGACCTGTACTGATGAAAAAGAACGTTCGCCATTCGAAGACAGAGCCAATAGTCGAGGAAGTAGAACTCCTCGAAAGCAATCCCCAATATTCTTTCATCAGACGAAACGATGGCGAAACAGTGACGGTGTCTAATAGACGATTAGCACCACTTCCAATTATCGATGACGAAGATCACTCTGAGGAATGTCTTCCTTCTGAAGAAACTGAACAACTCAGTTTGCCTTCAATTTTGTCACAGGAGGAATCTGATGAGGCACCGGCTGAGTTAGAGGAACCTCGGAGGTCTCACAGGAACAGAAGGCCCCCTGCTTATCTTCAAAATTTCGAAGTGGACAATGGAAACCCTAGAGGGGAAGAATGATATGAATCTCCCTGTACTGTCTTGTTAGATTTTACTCAGTTGTCAATGTCACGTCTTGAGTATGATCATGTCTAGTTTTTTAGTTGATTAAAGCCAAGTTCTTCGTTGGTAATTCGTTCATTACGTATCACTACTTTTCTATGAAGACTTTTATTTTTATTATAAAATGTACTTAAATATTTACATATCATTATTTTTTTCCAAAATCTCAATGCATTGCCTATAGGGTGAGTTTGTTTGAATATGATGGGTCCTTTGCTGAAGATGAACAGCCCCTCAAATGTCCAACTCCACATCCTGCTTGAACACAAACTCCTCTCTGTACCCTCCCTTATCAGTGCAACTGTTTTTACAGGTAAACACCACTAGTACACCCCAATCTAAGCTGGTCTCTTTCAACAAGGTCAACATCTGAGGCATGATTTGGAACTCAAACTGCCTGTCCCCCCCACAATGTTCACATTCGGGGATTTTGTCGGGCAGCGGAGCCCTGGCGATCCAAAAGGGACGGCCCCCGCGTTTGTAGCGTATAACTTGATCTGGGTTTTGAGCCGTGCGTTTCTGGAATTGTAGGAAAGTCTTGTCTTTTTCCTCTGCAGAGTGAGCTTCTAGTTCTGATTCTGAGATATGGGACATTGTACCAGTTTTACCTACAACAATATATCTAATAAACTTTTGTATTCACAATTTCAGCTACAATTACCTTCCAGTTCCAAATTTTTGAAGTTTTTCAGCTCTTCCTCCTCATTTATGTGATTTTCCTGAAACTCCTCAGTCTCTGTGATGATCTCCCACTCTGGAAACAATACCTCAGATTGTCTTGTACTTGCCAAGTTGCTGCCACATTCTTTTTTATGCCCTTCCTTCCAGTCCAGTACTTGGTGCTCTCTGCTACAATAGTTGACCCTTTTACATTTGCTGCACTGTTTTTCAGCTAAACCCCCACACACTGTGCAAAGCTTCACCCATTTGCTGAGTGAGAAATTACTGTCTGGCTTATCTTCAGGTGGATCATATGGATAATACTTGTTGTCCCTGAGCATAGAGCTCCTTAGGACTTTGATATTGCAACTGTTGTTTCTTATACAGCATTCTTGGTTTCTGCATATGAAAACAAATAGAGATCTGTGGAAATTATTGAGGAATTGTTCATGAGACACTTCCAAGTCTTCTTCATATGGTGCATACAATTGGCATAGGAATATCATGGATTTCTGGCAATTTTTGCATTGAAGCTGCTCATGGGAAGGCAATTTTTCCAGATTCAGCCAGGCTGGCTTCCCACCGACTTTGCTAGGAAACAGACGACTTTCTACCTGCCATGGTTGGCATTCTTCAAGGAAACCAAGTTCGATTTCACGTTTGTACATCCTTTCATGGGATATTTGTGGGAAAAATCGTCCAAATTATTTGCGCTTTAATATTGAAATTGATCGATTTGAATTATTTGAAAAAACACGACATTATTGAGGTTGAAGTTCTGCTTATTCTTCTTCTTAGTTTCTTGGCCTTCTCATCGAGAGTTGAACGTCCAGCCATATTCGACTTTCAATTACTAGAAATGGGTTGAATTCAAAAACAGAAGAAGAGTCCAACTGTATATCTAACCTAACTTTTCCGCTGTCAACGTGAGATTGTTGATTTTCTGTATTTACTATTTTTATTTTTTTAAGATCTTGTATCCACTGCCGGCACTGCTTGTCTAGAAAAGAATAACAGTTCCATAGTTTCTCAAAGTTGATTGTAGGGAAAAGAGAACATCTCATCATGGTAATTGCATCTGATCAAACGCAGATAGAGAATCTCAAATCATACTTCTTCTAGGGAAAAACTAAGAAAACGAGGAAAATCGTGGAGAGACGTTTTGCTAAGATGAAAAAGATGATAAGTCTGAGCGATCCCAGGATAAAGGAATCCCTGCGGCAAGCTCCTAGAAAGAAAAAACCAGAAGATCCTCACCAAATGAAAGTTAATGAAGCACCCCAAGTCAGCTCAGCCCTGTTCTTCCAATACAATACCCAACTAGGACCACCCTACCACATACTCATAGACACAAATTTCATCAACTTTTCAATAAAAAATAAGCTAGACATTATCCAGAACCTGATGGATTGTCTATATGCCAAGTGTATACCTTATATAACAGACTGTGTCCTGGCAGAATTAGAAAAACTAGGACAGAAATATAGAGTAGCTTTGAGGATAATCAAGGATCCCAGGTTTGAAAGAATACACTGTATGCACAAAGGGACTTATGCAGATGATTGCTTGGTGCAAAGGGTTACACAGCATAAGTGTTACATTGTGGCAACTAATGACAAAGACTTGAAAAGAAGAATTAGGAAAATACCTGGAGTGCCTATCATGTATGTTTCTCAGCATAGGTATACAATAGAGAGGATGCCAGATGCCTATGGTGCACCTAAAAAATAATGAAACTTCAACAATATTATCAAATAAAAGCCTTGAGCTTACTTAAGATTAAGTATATTTGTTAAACATACATAACATACACTTTATTCACTTAATTCACTTTCAATATCTTCATCTTCCCCATCTGACAGGGCAGTCAAAGGACCATTGGTAACAAGGAGCCCCCTTTCCCAAAGATCTGACACTAATTGAGCTTTTGCTATGCCATCTTCTGTTGGCAAATCCTCTACTCTGGTGAATTCTGGGTAGTCATTTTGTAACTTTGCCACACAAGATGTGAGGTCATGGTCAATCACCAGAAACTGTTCCTCCTCCCCATGGTAGTATTTGGCATTTTCTGTGTTGTAGTAAATCTTTGGGACATCTTCTACAACTAGCCTCAAGCAATGGTAACGCACGAGACGGACTTCTGTGTCCATTCCTATTTCTATCCTAAGAAGAAAGTAATCATAGCTAAATCAAAATTCACCTAATATTTTTTTTGTCTCACCTGTTGTATATTTTGCCATCTCTCATGAAATCCCCATCATACTTTGAAGTATAATATACTTCTTGCTTAGACAATACTGGTGGCATGGAATCATACATGAACTTTCTGCCCAGCTTGTCTGCAGCTAGATCTATGTCCATGTAGTTCACTAAATCCTTCACTAGTTTCTCCATGTTCTTCTCCATTGCCTTCCTCTCCTTTGTTTTCTTATTTTTATTGACACAACCCAAGTGCTTCAAATAATTGAGAGGAAGCCCCTTTCTTGAAAATATAAACATGATTCATTATGTTTCAATGAGACAACAAATTTTGAATTTCTCACCTGAAATCTATATTATTGGTAGCAGCAGTCTTCAGAGCTTGAGGTAAGAGCTGCTCCAACAAATCTGCATAGGAATTCTGTTGGTAAACAGAAACAGTGATATGCAAAGAGTGTTGGTCTGGATCAGTCCTACCTTCATGGATGGTTCCTCTAGGAAAATAAAGCAAATCTCCTGCATTCAGTGTAACCTCCATGAAGGGTTCACCAATATCTTCATGTTTGAAATTGCCACTGGAGGTTCTGGCCAAAATGTCACTACCCCTGCAAATGAAAAATGATTGTTGAACATGTGTTTGGGGTGGCATAAAACTTGGAGCTTGGAGAACTCACTTGGGTTTATACAATTTCCAATATTTTCTTCCCTCAAGTTGCACCACAAAAGCTTCTATATCATCATAATGTGGGGCAAATCCCTGGCTATTAGGTGGAGTCAAGTACACATTTGCTCCAACCATTGCACCAAAATACTCCTGCAAGGTGGAGATCAGCAAGTGTACCTTTTGGTCATATGTATGAGGGTTCAGCACTCTGATACTACATCCATTGGAATAATAATCATATAGCCCTGAAGCTACAACCCTTCCTTGTTCATTGTGAACTTCCTTCACCCCATTTTCATAGGAAACTACATCAACATTAGTTGTGTAGTACAGGGGAAACTCTCTAAAGATATCATCTAGTCTTTGTGTAGTTAGAATACAGGTGTAGTAGCTGGGTTTGTCTCTTTTGATGTGCATTACCTCATTCTCCCAGTATTCATCAAAGAACACACTGGGATTTATTGGGGCTATCAGCCACTTGAATAGTTTCAAGCCTTCTGGTGATGGATCAGTTTTGTTCAGTTTTGACATGAACTCAGAAATTGAAGCATCCATAATGGCTTCACTCCTAAGAGAACTTCCAGTACTTGGTGTTTGAATTGGTACTAGTATTGGAGGATTTTCATCACTGGATTCAATTAGATGTTTTTGCAATGGTTTCTTCAACTTTTTTGTGGTTGCAACTCCGTTCTGTTTACGTTTAATCATCCGTCTGTCATCGAAAAGTTGTGTGCTAGGAGTTATTCCTTTGTGTTTTTTGGGATTTTCAACACTAATTCTGAGTTCTTTGTTTTTCACTTTGAGGTGTTTCTTGTTATGCTGATCTGATTTCAGAAGTTTTTTATTCTTCTTAGAAGGAGGGGACCCTGACAAATTGCTTTCTTCATGGCCGGTTGATTTCAATTTTGGTTTATTATTCTTTGACTTCTTTTTGTACATAAGAAACGCAGATACAGGAGAGCTTTCAGGAAGAGACATAGTTTATGTGTGTGTGTGTGTGTTTAACGTTCAAATTCAAAACCTGAGCAGAACAGGAAAGCAGTAAAGATCATGTAAAAATCACATTTGAACTTCAGTTTGACAATTAGGCAATCCAACGACCTGTCAAATAATTTCAAAATGGCGTCTGGTTGGCAAATAAACCAAAGACAAGTTTGTTAACTTGAGAACTTTGTGGGTTTTGGAAGCCTCTTACAGTACTATTTTATCGAGTTTCGGCTAGATTTATTGCGAATAATGAAAACTCAGTATGATTTCAAAGAAAAAATTACCAGTAACGTGAATTGTGGTGGATTGTGGAAGCAGTGCAGATCGGGGCCATTTGCTATTTTGTCACATTCCTACTGTAATACTGTGAAAAACTCTGAGCATTATCCACAGATGAAGGATCTATCAAGAATAATAAGGGAAATGTGGATAGCAGCCATCAAGAGAAAGAATCAGCAACAGAATCAATCATAATAAACCAGAGGATATGTGGCAGACACTATTTTCATAACAGGTACCTAAGAAAAAGGATTTTAATATTATTTATATGTACCTACCTACTCTAGAACTGATGAGTTTAGTGTTTCATCCTATGGAAAACTTATCTTTTTTTCATTTTGAAAAAATAAACCAATACTCATTACTTTTGATGGTCCTACATAGTTTGGAAACATCATGTTTCTAACACATAAATAAATCATCTACCTTGTAGGAGAACGTAGTGCCTGAGAGAAGAGAATATCCAGCTGGTTCCCATTGCAATATAATATGGGTCATCAATCTCTTGTCCATTCGAAATGCAAGACTGATGTGGATCAAAAACTGAGAGCAGACAAAAGTTTCAAATCATGAATCAAGCATCAGAACAGAGAGACCTGGTATGTTCTCAAGAAAACACCTAATTACCTAATACTACTGCTACATAATTTTTCATTTATTTTAATGTAATGAAGAAAGTGTCCTGGGAGATAAAGAAATAGAAGAGAAAATTGGTGAAAACAGGGTGAAAATCTACAAGATTATAAATACTTTTACAAATTACAGTTTGTTGTGACTTATTTTTATCAATTTTAAATGTGAGACAAATAAAGTAAGTATATCAAAATAATTGTAATATTCATTAAATGAAAAATACATTGTATTATTCCACTATATTACAAAAGATCTACATGAGCCATGAAAAAATCTTCATAGCACATTATAGTTATTCAGTGATCTGATTGAAACAATAATAAACAATGATTGTATGATATATTTATTATGTATAGGTACATATTTTTTTATAGAACTTGTTGAATCAGAATTCACAAAACCATGCTGATTCTGGTGTACCTAAAATATCAACACATTTGAAATAGAACCATACAATTTCCCTTTATCACTGTCACAACTAGTCATAGGGGTTCCATCATCAGCACTTGAACACTTCACCATGAAACTTCAAAGAAATTTGTGAATGGTGTTCCCAAAAAACACGTTTCTCGGACTTTGAAGATATAGTAGGGATTTTGTATTGAACCAGCCAGAGCAACTGTACCTATGTCCATTTCTGCTATTGGTATGATGGGCACAATCATGATGAGAGTGGTGGCATGGGCCACAAAGCACCTACATCAGTACATGAAACTGTTCCTTATTTACTTGCCCAAGCCTCAAGTTACTTATTAGCACAGAATCTGATTGTGAATATTTTACCTATAAAAAAATTGCATAAGATAAACATGAATATGAGGTAGGAAATATATTTAAAAATATATGAATAACATAATTTCTTCATTCAAAATGTTCCTATCATGAAAGTTATTTAGGTATAAAAGTAAAAAGTTACCTTTCCAACTATGACATGAAAATCATTCATCTGCCTGTCTACTTCCTGGACAAAAGTTGCTGAAAAATACTTGTGAACAACAAGGGTTTTGAATGCTTTCATTTGCTCATGAGGGTAGAAACTGTGGGGTCACTATAAATAGTGGGAGAGTATAATTATGAGGTAGTCTAATCAGTCAGCAGTTTCGGATGTGAAGGGCTTCAAATCCTTGATCAACATCAGCTTCATCAGATATCTACAAACAAATTATGGTTGTACGATAGTTTCAGGAATGAAAATTTACTGGTTAGTTGAGAAAAATAGCCGAAAAAACAATAAATATTCATGTTTACCTCTGACCAACCTCTGGGTTTTCCTGCAATAACTTCTGGAAATATGAACTCAGCATATTGAAGCACTGTTCAATTCAGCTCCGAGACTCCCTCAAACACCTGACACATAAAACTACCAGAATAATAGGGTGATTCGGGCAAAATACAATTTAATTACAAGTGATGTATAATCTTTGTTTGCCAACCAGACGCCATCTTGTCAGCTAAAATGTCACGTGGTTTGGATTGCCTAATAAATCTAACCTTACATATTTTTTGGTTAAGATCAGAATTCAAATTCCTCTTAGAATTATTTCGTTTCTTACTGAAATTTGATTTTATCTCACTTTACCTACAAGCCAGTACAAGTGGTCGCGAGATCAAATCAGAAGAATTTTCTTCTTTTTTGTTTGTGATCAATTTGAGTGAGCTGTCATTACTGTCGTTTTTGTCAATTTCCTAATTTGTTAGAGCGGTAAATTTGCATGTCTATTGTTTTTATTTTATCTGATTTTAGAAAAATTTAATAATTCAATGCTCACCAGCATGAACAATATGTGAAGTGAAATGTGATTGTTGCACATTTAAAATGCCAGTTCTAAAAATTGATCATATCGTTAGTTTTAGTAGTGAAGATCCCGTAAGTTCAGGCGACACATAAACCTTACAAGATACCTTTTTAACATTTTGTAGGCGCATCCAGCTAGCAATATTCTCGCCAGCGACAATACCAAAAAGTGGAAATGCAGAACGTCCGGCGAGAAAAACGCCGTAGTAATTCTGCAACTAGAAAAGGCCAGTCAGATCAGTGCTATCGATATCGGCAATCAAAATTCGGCCTATGTAGAAGTCCTGGTGTCTCGTACCGGCTCCAGCGAAGACTACAAAGTCCTTCTAGCTGCTTCGTCGTTCATGACTCCAATTGAAGCTCGCAGTAGCCAGAACATGAATAAAGTAAGAATGTTCACCAAAGAGCAGCTTTTAAAGCCTCAAGTGGACGAGAAATGGGACAGAGTGAAGATAGTATGTACACAGCCTTTCAACAAGCATTGCCAGTATGGTTTAGCATTTGTGAACCTAGTGAGCTTTGATGGAGGTGATGGAAACAGCAAAGCTGCTCCTGTTCAACAAAATATAGGGAAGTTTGCACTGAGGCCTGAATCACCAGATGATTTTACTGCTGGGAGCCTATTTGCTAAGAGAAAGGAAGTGAAGCAAGAACAGAAACTGACTGGTGGGTCCTGATCATGAATTTTTTTTGCTTACTTGAAGTGTTTGTTTTCTGATTTTAGGTGCTGCTGCCATAAGGGAAGCTTCCTCTAGCTCATCATTGGCTTTACATGGGTCCCCAGTATGCAAGCCAAAGTTGAAGACCAAGGATTTGACTCCTGCAAGCAAAAAGGGCACAGGAGATAGTGCAAAGGGTACACCAAAAGATAAGGAAAAGGGTACACCAAAAGATAGAAATAGAAATGAACTGTTTTATGATGAAGATGATGAGAAACCCAATGAAAAAATTGACAAGGTCATTAAAAAAAAGGCAGATGAGGCCAAGCAGAAAGAGGAGGTTGAAGATGTCAAGAAGAAGCAAAATTTTTGGGATAGCAAAAAGAAAGATGCCAGTCCAAGTACCTCAAAGGTGAAGGTGGCCAAAGTAGAGAGTCCCAAAAAGGAATCCAAAAGGAAAATCAAAGAGGAAACTCCAAAAGCAGTGAAAAAGAAGAGAGTGGAAAAAGAGAAACCTAGTAAACCATTTGAGAAACTGCTGGATGGGGTGACTTTGGTGATCAGTGGTATCCAGAATCCTGATAGAGCAAATTTGAGAACAATGGCCTTGTCTATGGGGGCAAAATATAAGGCTGATTGGGACTCTACATGTACCCACCTCATGTAAGTACAATTATTGATAGTAATATTAAAACTGAATATATAATATTCCATCAAAAAAAATAAACAGAATATCAGTCTCAATCTCCAAATTAAAAATGAAGCATTGAAAATAATTACACAAATAAAGTATCTTGGTAGGTGGATTGATGAAAAATTGAAATGGGACAAGCATATAGAGGTTCTGATACAAAAAATATCTCCGATCATTGGAGCTTTGCTAAGATGTCCTAAACTTGACAAAAAAGTCATAAACAGTACTTCATTCTCATATACTCAGTTGTATCACCTATATGATAAACGTTTGGGGATCTTGTTCAAAAAATTATTTTAGTAAAATATCTGCACTTTAAAGAAAGCACTGAAAGTATTGTATCACCTCTCATTTGATATCCAAATAAATGATCTGTATGCCTTAACAGAAAAATTTTCATTGGATGAATTATATAAAATAGATTCTCTTAGAGTTTCATATAAACAATAATCTGAAATCCAATTTTATTTCGATAAGAAACTCAGAAATTCATGGTCATCACACGAGACAATCAAACTTATTTCATCTTGATTCTGCTACTTCTATAATTGGCCAAAAAAAATTCAGTCACGCTGCTCTAGCTGAATTCAATGAATTACCATATAATATAAAAAATTAGAGACATATTTCAAAATTTAAAATTGAATTGAAAAAACACATGATTTCATTATGAAATGGATAAAATTTATACTTTGCCATCTACTGATTAGTCCCTGTGGTTATTTTTATGACTTGATCGATTTAGCATTGTTAGATTCTTTAGATTTTTTTGTTGTTGTTGTCACCTTATATTATTTTATTATTGTTGTTTGTAATCAACTTCCTCATACCGGAATTTTATTTCTGACTGGAAGCTAGTTTTTCAATAAACATTACAGTGATCCAAATAATATAAAAAAAATACACACTTATTCAGAGAAATAGGTTGGTACCTTCTCAGTTCTTCCAGACTAAGAATAATTGAAGGTGATGATTCTTTATGTTTTCACAGTGATCAAACATTATCAAAATGAAAGTTGGTTTGAATCACTTAAATTTCTCATTGCTTTTGATATATATACAATGTCTTGTTTATGGAAATAATATGGGCAACAATGAAATGACCATTCTTCAATGAGAAAACCATGCACATATGTTTTTGATAGAAATTGATAAAGCTTTTTTCAGTATTAAAAATTGTTAATACAATGAGAAGCCTAAATATTTGGATTAAAAATGATTTGACTATTGAGCAATTATTGATGATCAAAGTTGAACTAGAGAAACTGCTCCATGATAAATCCTAAAAAAATTAATTTTTGTGGATTAACATTATTTTCAAGTGTACAAAGTATTGCCATCTTAAAGCCTATTTCAAGCAATTTTTCTATTCTGATCAATATTTTGCATAACATGCATGTTAGAAAAAAAACAAAAAAAGTAGATGTGGGGTTCAGAATTCTATTTGAAAATCAGAATTGGATGTATATTCTCTAACAACAAGAGACCCTGTACATAAATTGAATGAATTTGTACCTAAACATGTATTTTGTTTGTCATAATTATTGAGTCCATGGATACAAATTTCTAGAGTGGAACTCCATATCATTTTCTGATGGGGTCAAAAATATACAAAAATAGTATTGAGAACTTCTTTGACACTACTGGAAAAAAGATAATGAATTGCAATTTTACCCAATTTGTTTAAAGTGGTCCAATATTCGAAATTATTGATCATACATACACAGAGAATCCTAATTGCTATTTCAGTAGCAAAATTTTTTTTATTTTTCTGGTTCAAAAACAATAATATTGCGGATTTTGACATAATTTTTGAACTCATCTTGACCTGTAGAACCTGAATATGTAGAAATATACATGTTGCTCAATTTGTAATTAGGCAGTCCGTCATTTTGAATTGTGATGTGAAAAAAGTCGGAATAATTGCTTGTACAGGACAACTTGTCATTATAAAGTAGCAGGAAAATTCATGGTAATATTTTTTGAGACAAAATATGAAGAAATGTTGAGAAATGTTCATATTGAACATATTTATGCCCGAAAAAAATTTGTTTCCAAGAGACAGATTGTTCTAAATTGATTTTACAAAAATGCTTTAACTGAAAGTGGTTACATTTTACAATGAAACATCCTCTATACAACTGTACCAACTTTCAGAAAAATCACGAATGCCTGTATGGTTCATGAATTCTGATGAAAAATTGTTCCTGAAGTTAGTTGTAGTCGTAGGTAGGCACTTGTGACAAATTCCGCAAAAAAACATCGCCGGCGGCATGCGGTTCGTTTGAACTTTTCAAAGGGACCGGTGGACGCGGCGAATTCCTTTTGATCAAGCTGTCTCAAGTGGCTTTGTAAAGACTATACGTCAAATTCTGGTGCCGTGTGTGCTGAACAAAACGAAATTTTACTTGCGCTTTGTCAAATTCGGGTCACCCTGTAGATATACCAAGCACTGGCCAGTGCCGTGTGTGCTGAACAAAATGAAATTTTAGTTGCGCTTTTCCCAATACGCCGAAATTCAATCAAGTGAAGGGCAAGGGCAAAATAGTCAAAAGGTCCTGGGTGGAGGACAGCCACGTGGGCAGGAAGAGGCTGCCTTGGAGGAGGTACGCCCTCGATAGGGACGACCAGGGTTGCGATGAGAGCGAAGGAGAAATTTTGGAGAGGGTTGATTCGGCAAGGGTCGAAACTATTGATAGGGATGTCGAATCTGATGGTATGGACATGGATGTCGATGAACAGTAAGTAGATGTATAACCCAGGCAAAGGGTATAAAAATAACGCCCTCTCCTTGTAAAAAATCCAGTAGTCGGTTTTATAATTATCATTTCCGTCGACCTCGTATTAACGACTAAGTTTAATGTATATGAAATCGTTCATTAATGACCGCTATTAATGGACGATTTGTCTATTAATGCACGATTGTTTTATAGGCAACCAAACATACACCGCGTGCATTCATTGTTTATGCTATAACTTACGGGATCTGCATCTAAATCGAAAATATGGAGTTTATCGAATATTTTCCGTTAACGGGTTCGCCTTTCCAAGTTTCTTACACGATTTTAATCCCTGTTTTCTAACACAAGGAATTTATTTTCTATGTTGATCATTTCGACAAATGTCAAATGTCACTAATGTCAGTAACAAGGCTACTGGGTGATTCTTAGCAGTTTCCGGATGAATGATGAATTCGAGAACCAAGTTTTCTTCATTGCAGGAGAAATGAGAAATATAGTCGACGGAAAAATTTTGTAACCAACTTGTATATTAAAAGGCGATTAATGATCTCGATCATTAATCGCCCTCATTAATACAGTAGTTGGTTAAATAACTATTTCCGTCGACCTCGTATTAATGAGTAAGTTTAATGATTATGAAATCGTTCATTAATTACCCCTATTAATGATCAATTTTTCTATCAATGCACGATTGTTTTATAGGCAACCAAACATACACCGCGTGCATTCATTGTTTATGCTATAACTTACGGAATCTGCATTTAAATAGAAAATATGGAGTTTATCGAATATTTTCCGTTAACGGGTTCGCCTTTCCAAGTTTCTTACACGATTTTAATCCCTGTTTTCTAACACAAGGAATTTATTTTCTATGTTGATCATTTCGACAAATGTCAAATGTCACTAATGTCAGTAACAAGGCTACTGGGTGATTCTTAGCAGTTTCCGGATGAATGATGAATTCGAGAACCAAGTTTTCTTCATTGCAGGAGAAATGAGAAATATAGTCGACGGAAAAATTTTGTAACCAACTTGTATATTAAAAGGCGATTAATGATCTCGATCATTAATCGCCCTCATTAATACAGTAGTTGGTTAAATAACTATTTCCGTCGACCTCGTATTAATGAGTAAGTTTAATGATTATGAAATCGTTCATTAATTACCCCTATTAATGATCAATTTTTCTATCAATGCACGATTGTTTTATAGGCAACCAAACATACACCGCGTGCATTCATTGTTTATGCTATAACTTACGGAATCTGCATTTAAATAGAAAATATGGATTTTATCGAAGATTTTCCGTTAACGGGTTCGCCTTTCCAAGTTTCTAACACGATTTTAATCCCTGTTTTCTAACACAAGGAATTTATTTTCTATGTTGATTATTTCGAATAATGTCAAATGTCACTAATGTCAGTAACAAGGCTACTGGGTGATTCTTAGCAGTTTCCGGATGAATGATGAATTCGAGAACCAAGTTTTCTTCATTGCAGGAGAAATGAGAAATATAGTCGACCGAAAAATTTTGTAACCAACTTGTATATTAAAAGGCGATTAATGATCTCGAACATTAACGCGCTCGCTTCGCTCGCACGTTAAAATATCTCGATTATTAATCGCCCTCATTAATACACTAGACTAGTTGGTTAAATAACTATTGTATCCCATGTTTTGGGGCATTTATATTTTGTTGGATAATTCTCAATTCTGATTCAGCAATCCGAAAAACATAGGGATCTAATGATGATAAAACCAACTACTAGTTTTTTGCAGTATGAAAATATCATTTGCCTTTATTTTTCGCGATTGATTGAACTTTGATTTGATTTGTGTTTACTTTTTAGTAAGGATGAAGGTTCTGATACTGAAGAAAAGGTAGCCAAACTTCTAGAAGAGCAAAAGCAGAAAAATGGTAGCAAAGAAATTGTTGGTTCGGATTATGATATTTATGAGGCAGATACTGATGTAGAAGATTTATTTTGAATAAATGGTGTTCAATTTTCTTCTCATTTTCAAAGTATCACGTATTGCCTTCAATAAAAATTTTATACAGTGTGACTTACTTTATCCCTCGTATTATTCATGTGATTTGACCCAAATTTGGAGTGGTATCAGAAAACCATATCAATATAACCAACAATATTTTGAACAGTCCATGCATTTTATATTAAAATAAAAAGTGGTTTGCCTGTAATCCATATACGTATTAATAATCAATACGGATAATCTCTTTCTGTTTCCATAGCGAAACATAAAGCCGATTTTTGAAGACAAATGACTATCCATAAGGAAAAGTTTTGAAACGATCAGACACATACTAATAATAAGGCTAGTAAACGTCATTGTCCACCGAAACGCATTTCTTTGGTGACTACTATAATAGCGCATGGCGCATGCGTATCATGCCACCAAATCCTTATGGATATTCATTTGTTTCATATTTTTGGCTTCATCCTGGCACCCGTTATGATCCGTATTGTTTATTAATACGTATATGCTGTAATCAATCATGTTAGACATTGCTTTTCACGAAAATAAATTATCAGTATCGTTCGTTATGCTTTTGATCCCCCTATTTTTTGAAAATTTCCTCATAATAGAGATTTTTCAAAAAACGTTTTCCGTTATGATTATCATTATGCTAATGGATCATTATTTCTCCAGTTTTTTTGTAATTTTCTATCCACTTTTCTGAATAAAAATATGAGTATTATCTCTATTTATAACTTCTGACCACACTTTTTAAATGTGTCAAAGTCAAAGCGTTCAAAAATTTCACTATTAGAGAACTTCAAATAAAAATTCAATCGTTAGTCACACCTTGGTTAAAAAATGTTCAAAGAAGAAACTAAATATAGGAAGGTGTATTGAGAACTTGTGAAATCTTACTTACCTTTGTACGTTTCGATTGGTTTCGGGAACGAATCTGCTCCCGATTTCAACATAATTTGATTTTTTTTTTCAAATTCCTGTGTGTCCATCAATACTCATCCTCAGACATCATGATGAAAAATGACACTATTTTCGAAAACGGTTCGTTTTAAGGCATTCTAACAAGAGTTTCTTTCATATGTGAAAGTGTTTGAAGAATCGTAAAAAAAATTCTTTTTTTTATTGAATTGGTTTCGCACCTCCTTGTATATCGAATTATGTTTTCCATACCATGAAACGATTTGTAAGATCAAATTACCTATTGGTACCGAATTTCGTAATTCTACTCGGCTTCGCTAAACGCTCCGCCTCGCAAATGCAAAATTCGCTTGTCAAACAAAGTGTCACTTTTGATCCTAATAAAACAATCTACTATTTTTTTCATCAAGAAATAAATAGAAACCAAATGATACCTATCAAAAAATAACATAAAAAATTAGACAAAGTACAAAGCAGCAATTATTCCTAACAAGTTCTAATTTTTGTATTCTCGATCGAATCTCCTTCATTCTCTAAACACGTACGAAAGACGTTATTTTCAACTCTCCTGCAAGGTTTACAAATTGAGGACAAGAAAAATAGGGAAGAGTTAATTGCGACAAATAAACAGTTTGCAGACAGATACCACCAGAAGAACTGAGGAGAGTTGAAAATAACGTACGAAAGGGATATGAAAAGTGGGTAGAGAATGGAGATTTGATCGAGAATAAAAAAAATTGAACTTGTTAGGAATAATTGCTGTTTTGTTCTTTGTCTAATTTTTAATGTAATTTTTTGATTGGTATCATTTGGTTCTTATTTATTTCTTCAAAGAAAAATCTTAATTTTCAGTGATTTTATCAGTTATTTATCTCTGTAGCCAAATGTTTTGATCCTAAGTACCATCATGCCTGATATCATTGAAATTCTAAGAATTATTGTACACGGTACGGTGACTTGAGAAGTGCAATTATTCAAAAATTGTAACGTTGATGCAAAACACCCCGTATGAGATATTGTTTTGAAAATTGATATAAGAGTATTTGTGACTAGTCCGAATCGATTGCCCACATTACAATTTTTGTAAAGAAATGCCTAATCCGTTTTCTTCAATTTTGCTGAAGTTTTTGTGATCGTAGTAGGCTAAGAAAATGTAATTGATGAATTTTGTTTGCTCGAAAAAGTAGATAATTTTGAGTTGTATACTGTGAGAAAAAAAGTCTTCGAATCGCTCTTGGAATACGAAAGTACAGGGGTGGGGTGGACCAAATTGTAACACACTGTATATACGGCACGATGATTCGGACATTGTCGATCTGAATGGAAACCACATAATGATTCCTAATGTGATTCTTCCACATCAATTTGTTTGTATCACTCATAGTTTTTCGTTTTTCAACTGAAAAGCTATTCATGTAGGTACTCATCGCTGCAGGTAGGTACCTGAATTTTTCAAGTATAGTGATTCCGATGTGTACATAGTTTACATCACTAAAGACATGTTTCCACTGCAAATAACGGAATTTCATGAATTATATAGTAACTTATCAAAAATATAGAAGGAAATAAGCAGCCCTTACCTTTCTGCTTGGCTTGCATGTCGAAAAAGTGTAAAAGCACTGATGAGTTTCCGAAGTTTCCACAGTTCCAACTTAAATTCAAGTTGCATCATAAGTCAACCTGATACAGCATTGCCTAAACATCTCCCTGCTTCCATTCAAGTATAGGTAGATGGTTTTCATACTTGATAATATCTTTCGTGATAATGTTTCATTTTCGGGTTTCAACATGACAGATTTTTATTTACAAACTTGACAGGATCATGAAAAATGTTTGGGTTAGGAATAAAAAATGAATAACTTAGTTTACTTAGTTCACGTAGATGTCTCTGAACTACATATTTTCTTCATTTGTCTTTTCAATGAACAGACAATATTATAGCTCCTGCCTACTAACTACCTAACTAGGTTGTCATCTATTATACCTTTTCAACTTCAATTTCGGAATCGGTGAGTTATATTTCGGAAAAAGTAATCTCGATTTCAGAATTGGTTAGTTCGATTTCAGAAATGGTAAACTCAATTTCAGAATCGGTGAGATGAATTTCAGAAAAAGTCCATTCAATTTCAGAAATGGTAAGTTGTATTTCAGAATTATTATTGGTAAGTTCAATTTCAGAAGATGAAATCCTTTTATATGTTTGAAATGTAATTGCAAAAGAGAAGATTGTTTACAGTGGATGGAACGGTGTTTGAGAGCCCTATGTTGAATCAGATTGAACATATATGGGGTGCCTCAGAAGTGAAGAGCTTCTTGCAAGAGCATCGCCAAAGGGTCATAGCTGGAGATCCGAACAGATTGCTCAACCAGATAGAATTCAGACTGCGATGTCTTGAAGAATGTGCAGATCATTCAATGAAAAAGATAACACCTCAAATGTGTTGGCATTCTTATAATCATGTGCAACGCCACTATCTTCCAGCGATTCAGATGGAAGGCATCAGTGGATTAAATTGTTTTTGAAAAGTTGAATATTTTATAAATAAGTATGGTTTGTTAATCTCACATGCAATTGGAAACATTTCGAACAAATATAAGGATATTTTTCATGATATTGAACCTACCAATTCCGAAATACAACTTACCATTTCTAAAATTGAATGGACTTTTTCTGAAATTCATCTCACCGATTCTGAAATTGAGTTTACCATTTCTGAAATCGAACTAACCAATTCTGAAATCGAGATTACATTTTCCGAAATATAACTTACCGATTCCGAAATTGAAGTTGAAAAGGTATAGAACGACAATGATTCGGATGTCCCCCCGTAAGTGCAGGTGAGTTAGCGACTCACTTTATGGTGTGGACACCACAAGCGTTGACTAAGCAACCGTGTGGGGAGTGGTCATGGTCAATCCACGGCTTACTTCGTTGTTTAAAAAAAGGTGAAAACAGTCGATAGTCGAGCGCCAGCATCGAAGTTGCAGTTTGCAGTGCATTTCAAAGAAGTGGTGTGGTGAAAGCTGGAAAAAATGTGATAATTCAGGAAAGTGTGTCCTGATGAATTTAATAAAAAGGCTGCATTCGAATTTTGACAACTGGTGAGTTGCTCTCAAATTTCTTTTTCCTATCTAGCCTAGCATTTCTTCATTCGCTCTTCGAGATGATATACTTACCAGGGGTGTAGGGAAAGTTATTGTAGATGTGTTTTTATGTTTTTCAGAAATTGACTGCGGTTTGAAACATGGAGAGCTGTGGCTATTGTATGAAATACAGTTTATTCATTGTCAACCTGATCATTTTCGTGAGTCATTATTCTTTATACAGGGTGTTTCATAATAATACACTCACTGGCAAAAAAAAAATCAACCACCAAAACATTTTACCAAGTTGTTCGCCTTTCAACTTTTCCAATTCTTGTCCGATTTTGGTGAAATTCCTACCAAATCGTATATTCATGTTTCGGTATGTTAGCCAGGATATTAGTTCCCAAGAAAGGCTGATGGCTTGATCATTATACAGGGAAAAACAAAAGTAACTTCTTAACGCCCTGTGGCAAAGGTGAGTGATTAAACTTAGCTTGATAATGTTTTCGACTGCAGTGGGATCCCTTCTTGACACAATGATTTTTTATTCACCTTGATAACCACGTTTTAAGGGAGGATACAAGGGTTTTAAGAAAGTATGGATTTTTCGATTTTCATTAACAATAATTCAGAACCATTCCCCAACCTTCTGCTTCATCATGTTTATTTGAATTGAACTGTGATCCTATTTCGTCCCTTCTCAACACAATAATTGTTCTAGATCGTTAATATCTCATTTACAAGGGGAGATACAAGTGTTTTGAGAAAATATGGAATTTTTAAATTTTTATTAACAATTATTCAGAACCAATAGAGCATCTTAGGGATGAACTCCAGAGACTCTTCAAGAGGTATGATTCGCCCTTCAAGGAAAATGTAGGCAATTCCTGTTCTTCTTCTTCATGACAACTTAGAAATTTGATCAACTGGATGCCATGGCGGTTAAATGCTGTGATTCAAACTCGAGGAGGACATACTCGATCGTTATTGACTCCAGGTCTGCTGTTTGTTTGTTTATTGTAATTAAGGTTATCTTCGCTGAGTGCTAAAAAAATTGGTAGAAATAAGCGATATTGATTATTAATCAATAAGCTCGTCAATAAGTACATATAGGATCTGATTATTTTTAATAAGAATTGAAAAATGACATACTATCTCTAAAGACTCGTATCTTCTCTTAAAAATAAGATCATGACGTGAATCAAGAACTATTTCGTCAAGAAAGGATCACACGACTTCAATCGAAAACATGATGAAGCCAAGTTCAACCACTCAATTTATAGGTCTATGGTTTAGAAGTAAAGGGCGAAAGAGTAACTTTGTTTTTTCCCTGCATAATGATCAAGTCATCAGCTTTTCAGGGAAACTAATATTTAGGCCAACATTCCGGAACCATGAATCTACGATTTGATCGAAATATCACAAAAATCGGACAAGTATCAAAAAAGTTACAGGGTGCACAATTTGGGCACATTTTTTGGTGGCCGGCTTTCGTTGCCGGTGAGTGTATATACGCAGGACTTCAGGATGTGATAGCTCGTTCAAGAATATGAAAAAATGTTTCTATTAACTAAGGCTCGGTACAGATGACAACCTTTTCGCATTTCAGCTTATAGCGCTTCGGATTCTGATTGGTCACAATTAATACTCATAATAACAGAAAGTTCGTTTCAGGGTCAATAAGCCAAATATGTTCAAACATTTATATTGAAAAAAAGCGGATATTTGATCAGTGTGAAACCAGCCACGAGTTCCAGCCACGACTTCGCCTAATATTCATGGCGCGCGCCATACCACCAATGGTAGTTCATCATGGCTGGCCATGAAATTACTAAAACCTCCAAAATATGTCCATGGATGAAACTATTTTCTATCAATGAATTCCTCTGAGGGTCTATAATAATCTGCATGTCTCACAATATTTTGTCGGGCAAGAATTAACCCCACAGGCCCCCTCTTTCGGAATTTCAAAAAAAAATCATCACTTTTTCAAAATACACGTGGATGGGAGTTTTTTTCTATGAATGTGTTCCTCTAATGGTACTTGATAATGTGTATATCTCAGAATAATTTGTCGGGCAAGAATTAACCCCACAGGCCCCCTTTTTTGAAATTTCAAAAAAGGGGGCTGGTTTCACACAGATTACAAACTATACTTTTTCTACGAAATCATTATTCCTCTCGTTATTCCTTCGACAAGATCCCATAATTCCGAAAATTAGATTAACCTACCTGGTACCCTACAAAATAATTCGAAGGGAATGGGAATTGAGAACATAATACATAATACTATGCAACTGCATGCAACCAACAGGACACTTATAAGTAATATTGGTTGTGGATGTGTTCAGTCCATGTGATAAATGAATTTCTATTAAAATAGCTTGCTTACTTATGTGAATAAGAAGTTTTCATCTGGCGTATAAGATAAAAACTCTTCGCTGGGGTATCAAAGTTTTCGATTCCTTATGTTTGTATTATATGAATATAATCTTTGCTCATGATTAGCATAAAATGAATTGCCCACAAAGATGAGAGCTTCATTTTATCTTAGACATATGCAAGTACCTAAAATATTTATTTTGATTTCACTTTCGTCTATATTTCGCATACATTTTTAATGAAGAATTCTGATACAAACAGTAATTGTTTCAATAATTCTGATTGTCACCGATTGCAACAAAATTCGAAAATGGCAGTTGACAGTTCCTACAATCGACAGGCTGGAAGGGACTCAAACGACTGAAGGTGCGTTTAAAACCTATTGCCGTGGTAATGTGTTTGAGAAATTATGTTGCCATGGTAACGTGTTCAATGTTTCGAATAAATCTCATATTTTTGGACGAGCGATCACATCCTGAAGTTCTGCGCATATATTATGCAACAGACTATATTTTATTGCTTTGATACAGTTCATCCTTGTTGAGGTTTTACCACCCTTATAATGTTATTTTATCGATTTTAGATAGGAGGATTACTCGTATTTGGTATAGGAATATGGGTAGTAGTGGACAAATCGTTTGCTAGTGATTTGCTTGGCACCAACATATATCTCGGTTCAGCATACATCATCCTCATAACCGGCATTTTAGTAACCCTGATATCTCTTTTGGGCTGTCTAGGATCCATCAAAGAAGTAAAATGTATGCTTTTCATAGTAAGTACCTATCATTATTCGAATATCTTCAATTAATTCGGTAAAGAATTAATGGAGAGTGGAGAATGGAAGAGGGCCAAGTACAGTGCCTTGTGGGACTCCCAATATTATTTTTGTCACAGAGCTTTCTTTTTCAGTATAATATCACTCTGTTAGCAATCTTTGTGACTATGCTGGTAGGGGGAATTTTGGGGTACGTTTTTCGAGAGAAAGTCGAGAAGACCATAAGGATAGGAATGGAGAGTTCTTTAAGGGACTATGGAAGTTACGCCCCTATCACAGAAGCCTGGGATGAAACACAAACCAGGTAATTTCAGAAAATTATGAAAATTTATGAAAGACATTTGTTTTACAGGGTGATTCACGTACATTAGAAGTTCTCCAACTTTCAATTGTATTGAAAACATGAGTATCGGTATGCTGTTATAGTTGATCATTTTCAATCAGCCTGGAATATTTTTAGTCTTCCAGCTATACAGGGTGTGCCGATAGTCACACCAATTTGAATAGAACCTACAACGAATGTAGATATTTTCATATTTCCTGGTCAAACTGCCTAGAATTAGATAAACAAAGAAATTGGGAGAAAATGCCCCTAGTCCCACCTATTTCTCACGCCACTGATCAAAATTTCGGAAAATTTCTTACAGTTCCATATTAGGCATGAGAAGTTATAGGTACCTACATGTACATACATATATGGCTAGAAGGTGTACCCTTCTTTATCTTTTTTGTTTTACACCCATCCAAAAAAAATTAAACTGATTTCATACAATTATTTTTCATACAGGTTTCAATTATAGTGACAGTATTGCAATATCTCTTCGAATAATGATATACAGGATATACAGAAAAAAAAATTAATGGAATGCGCAGTAGATTTGGATAGATATGAATCCCTCATATCATATTATTGTAATCAGGATGAATTTAGGAATTCAAATTCAAAATATACGGCGCATTCGATTTGAAAAAAATATATTTTTCTGTATACCCTGTATATTTGAAGAGATATTGCATCATTGTGAATATGAGCGAAATCTTCATGACAAATTTTATAAAATCAGCTATACATTTTTTTGAATGAGTGGAAAACGAAAAAGATAAAGGGGTGTTCACATCAATAAAACTAGCCTTGTACAAAATTTGGGTATTTCATCACAAAGGGTTTCGAAAATATTTCCAAAAAACCATCATCTTGAGCTCTCCTTCAGATGGCTATAACTCTTCTGGGGGCCTTTTTTGGGCCCATTTATATGAACTTTTTCAACTATTTTTGTTCCTAGAATTTGTGGTTGGAATCTCCATATGTAATTTTGGGACACCCTGTATATTTTTCTGTAGTTACTTCTCATGATCATATTATTATGTTGAATAAGCGATAAATGAGTACAGGGTGATTCACCATAAATGTCCCCCCCCTCTAGCTCAGTTATTTTTGAACCGATTTCAAAATTTGAAATATCATCTCAAATGATTTTCGATGAAGTTTTTTTCTGCTACATCAAACGATACAGGGTGCTCGGAACAAACGATCTATAGAGTACTATTTGATTTTTCTAAATGAAACACCCTATTTTTCATTGTATTTTTAGATTCTTTCTGAAGAGCTAATTTGATCGATGTATCACACTCGGGGTCAAGCGGGAATGATTACAGAGATATAGGGTGTTCAAAATCGAGATTTTTCAACTTTATGATTTTTGTGTGACGAAACTATTCATTATCGGTCAAAACGGCTTTCATGTCCGTACCACACCTTTTGATTTATTATCTACTGACATTTAATAATCGGAACAGATACAGGGTGATCAGAATTCTGAATCTTGAACCACCCTGTAAATGTTCCAATTAAATGTCACTAGATAGTAAATCAAAAGTTGAGATAGGGACATGAAAACCGTTCCGACCAATGATGAATAGTTTCGACAGAAAAAAATCCTAAAATTTGAAAAATCTCGATTCTGAACACCCTATATCTCTGTAAACATTCCCGCTAGACCATAAGTGTGATACATCGATGAAATCAGCTCTTCAGGAAGAATCTTAAAAGACAATGAAATATAGAGTGTTCCATTTGAAAAAATCAAGTAGAACTCTGTAAGTCGTTTGTTCCGAGCAAATTTTTAAATCGTTTCAAAAATAAGTGAGCTAGAGGGGGGACATTTATGGTGAATCACTCTGTACCTATCTATTTAATGTTTGTGTTTTTCAGGCTACAATGCTGTGGTATTTTCGGTCCCAAAGACTGGGAAGGAAGGATACCCGTTTCTTGTTGCAAACTGACCAGTGCCGGAAAAAGACTTGACTGTCAAGATCTTCCGGAAAATAACAGTTTCACAATTTTCACTAGGGGTTGTTTGGAAGTCACCCAACAGTTTACGAAACAGTACGCGGTGATATTGGGTACTGCTGCCATAGTGCTGTCTCTTTTATTGGTTAGTGAACAATGGGCGAGTGGGCTGATGATGAATTATTGGCATTCAATGGGGAAGACCACTGAGGGAAGAAATCCCTGCAAACCTCTTTCAATCGACGAATCATGATTTACGTTTGATCTACAATCAATATTATGAGTTGAAGTTGAAGGGAATCGAATCTATATCGTTTTGAAATCAGCATATTTCATTCGTTATTTCGAAAAGCCAAATATGATGGTGGAGCTGTGACGTATTAGTCCCGCACTGTAGCTATCTCTCTCTGATACCTCGTCATTCTGCAGTGTTGCAGTGTGATTGGTGAGTTCAAGGACAATAGGCGTGTTGGGACTAAGACGTCGCACCAGTCTCACCAATGAATTGACAAAATTTCAAATGGCGCAGGAATTGTGTGTTTAGAAATGGACATATTCTAATTTATTTTTTTCGTCTTAGCATGAATGAAAAAATTCGAAATTAATTCACTGGTAGTTTTTCAGTATAGAGTTCACGATAATGTCGTTTCAAAAAATCAGTGGTCTCCCCCATTGCTCCACCATGTCCTAAGGGACCTAAATTAATTTTTGCAACATTTCTTAAGCTCCTTTCATGTAAATCATGAGTCTAGATGCGTTGTTCAGAATTGTTGGATTTCAGAGCTTTTTTCAAACGTACCGTCATGGCCGCCATTTGGCGAAACGTCTGATAAATAGTGACGTCGGTTTTTATGCTGTTTCGTTATTGGTCAGATAATCTTCCAATTCCACTCATGAATCAAGATTGTTAAGTCACCAATTGTTATCAATTTATAAAAAAGATTGAAGTCCTTTCGTTGAGTAAATCACGAGATAAAACATAATATGAGGAAGCCATGATATTATAGCTCCAGCAACCAGCATGTCCAAATATCTCTTATACTCCATAACAAAATATCATGTTGGTGTTGATGATTTGGCAACAATGTGCTGAACGCTGAGAACTGACAGGGCACAGCCCACAATTCGTGCGCTATGTTGTCACGTTTACCCTCAAATGTCCTCTAGTGTGAGTTGTATAATGATTTTATTATTAACACAATAAGCAATAAGCCACAACAGATGAGGAAATATTTTGAGACAATTGATTTTTCATGTCTAATTAGGAATATGACCAATACAAAATTGAAAATTCATGAGTTATTGAATGACTAATATTCCTGAAGTTCCAATCGAATTTCAACATATGGCAACTGTGAAACGTTTGAAAATTACCGTGGCATCATTGTTGATATGAAAGCGAAAGGTATTTGAGTGATGATTCTATTTAAACAAACAAAAAATAGTCCACTCGTCTATTACTGAACATTATTTTAAGTTGATTTTATTGATTTTTTCAATTTTTCAGATTTTAGGAATGGCATTCTCGTGTTCCCTATTCAGAATGATCGAATAAAATCAAGGCGTTCAAAGGTATCTTGAAGATATAATCTTCAACATTTTCCATTTTTTTATCTAGTATTAAGATGATTCAAAAAATATTATATTCTTGCAACAGTCGTTTTAATCAATCCTTCTTCCCTTCTTGAAATTTCGTTTGCGATATGACACTATCAATTTAAGATTCATTTTCATATTAATTTCATTTTACCTGAAAATATTGTTATTACAAGTACACTCAGTTACAAAAAAAGTGACGCACTTGATATTTGACCTATCTTCTTGAGAAAAAAAAAAATAGTAGGCCGATTTTTATTTTTGTTATTTGTTGGTAGGTAATGCATTTGTCTTTGAAAAAAATAAAGAGGTGAAAATTTTCTCAAAGCCTCCTTGACGGTGGTGAAATAACTCGAACCATGATTTATTCTTAATTTTTGACTCACCCTGTGTGTTAATTGAGTAATGGCATAGAAAGTGCTTGCACCCTATACGAAAGAGGCTTCTTTTGCGAGCATTTTGTTTTTTTATTCATTGATTTATCTCTAAAATTTTCCGGATTACAGCTTTTTTTGCAGAATCCTTGCAGATTACCAACTTTCTGAATTTATCGAGAAACAATTTTCTAATGAAATAAACTGATACCAATAATTTTAAAAAACACAAAATTATAAATTGGGATGACTGCTTAATACCGTGTATTGCCTCCTCTAGCAACTCTAAGAACTTCTAATCTACGAGGCATACTGGAAATTAAGTTGCTTATCGTTTCCATTGGTATACGATCCCATTCTTCCACTAATGCATCTGCCATTTCTGCGAGACTTTCCGGAGACCTCTCGCGAGAACGTACCCTTCTCCCTAATTCATCCCACAAATGTTCTATAGGATTCATATCAGGGCTTCTCGCAGGCCGTCTGCTTACTTACTGCAACATCACGAATCTAGCGAAGATCTTGCTGAATATTTACCGCAGTATTTGATCGATTCCGTAAAATCCGCAATCTCAGAAAGCGATTATCTCTTGGAGAAGTTTTTCGGGGGCGACCAGAACCGACCCTCCGAGCGGTGCTTCCTGTTTGTTCGTACTTGCGGATCGCTCTACGAGCAGTTGCTTGCACTACCGTGCGTAGCGGTCGGTGGTCTCGAGCGAGTACAAAAAAAGTGTTTACAATTATAACTATCACGAATTAATTCATCATGAGAATCAACACGTTTTCCATTGATTTTTCTGAAATAGAAAATAGATTATCGGCATATGAGATACATGTGTTTATTGAGAAGAACTTGAAGTTGAAGGAGGAAGAAGTGATTGCTTTAGCTATCTACGGAAGCAAGGTTATGATCAAGGTGAAAACGGCAGAGATTTTAGAACACATATTTGAAGAGTACGCAGAAAAGCTGTTCTATAGTGACAGACATGGCAACAAATTTCCGATCAAAATTGTGAATGAAAGTTCCAAGATTATAGTAAAAATCCATAGATGTCCAATTGAGGTTCCAGACTCCGAAATACAAAAAGTATTAGGTACATATGGAATAATTGAAAACATAAAAAATGATATTTGGAAAAACATGCCCTACAAAGTTTATAATGACACGAAGCTAGTACACATGGAAATCAAACGAGCCATCCCATCCTACATCATGGTGCAAGGTAGATATTTGTGGACAACATACGACGGACAACAACGAACATGTAGACGGTGTAACTCAACAGGTCATGAAATCAAAGATTGCGACAAGGCGTTGAATATTAGAACAAGAAACTACGCAAATATTGTTGCAAATACAAGTTTGAGAGCACCATTACAAATTTCCGAAGAAAGTAGAGAGGTTCCAGTGTTCACAAATCTGAATACTAGTATTGGTCGACAAGCTGAAGAACAGTCAAAAGACAAAGAAGATAACACAAGTAAGGAGGATCAAAGTGATGCTGAATCAGAAGAGTGTGAAGTTACAAGCAACCATGAAGATGATGCAGAGAAGCTGAACGAAACATATGTTGAGTTCAGTCAAATGTCCAGGTCAGTCTTCAGTTCAATTGGGAGTTCATTTCCAAGGGGCAACCAAGAGGACGAAAAAAACAGGAAACGAGGAGTGCCATTTTCTGATTCAACTACATCTGAAGAAGAAGGAGCGCAAAAAAAATCAAGTAAGAAGAAGCAAGTGGTATGGGCTGATGATTTACCACTCGAAACGTCGCCGCCAGGGTTCCTCCAGGATGATATTTTATCAGAAACAAATACCACCTAGGCATGTATAACAATATCAGATCTATAATTATTGCTACAATCAATATATGTACTTCATCTTCTGTTTCAAAAAAAGAAATGTTGAAAAATTTCATTTATCAAAATGATATTGACATTTTGATGTTGCAAGAAGTCGCCTTTACTGATTTTAGTTTCTTAGTTGATTATACTGCTTTCGTGAATATCAGTGAGAACAAAAGGGGTACTGCTTTCATTATCAGGAATGACTTAGACTTTTGTAGACCAATTCTTTTAGAATCTTCCAGGGGTATTGCAATTGAAATAAACGGAATTCTTTTTGTAAATGTTTATGCTCCAAGTGGCACCCAGCACAAAAATGCTAGGGAAGTTTTTTTTTGTCAAGAAATAATGACGCTGTTTTCACAAACAGAAAAAATAATACTAGGAGGTGACTTCAATTGTACTTTGCATGAATCAGACAGTTCAAACAAACAGATAACGAATAACAGTAAAGAACTCTCAAAATTGATAACGACATTGAAACTAGTAGATGTTTGGAGGGAAAAAAAGAAAGACTTATCAGGTTTTACGTATTTCTATCCCAATGGCGCTAGCAGATTAGATAGAATTTACTGCTCTGAAAAATTATTAGAATCACTAGGCGGCATGTGTGACCTGCATCCAGCTCCGTTTACAGATCATAGGGCATTTATGGTTAGCATAAAACTGCCACACATGAATCGTATAACCAGAAAACGCGGCTTTTGGAAATTAAACAGTACAATTTTATTGAATGAACAGGTAAAGGAACTTTTTGAAATAAATTGGACAAGATGGCTGAAAAGCAAAGTGAAATTCCGTAGCACCATAGTGTGGTGGTGTGAATTCGTGAAACCTAGAATCAAGTCTTTTTATCAGTGGCAAAGCAGTATCATCAATAGAGATCGAAAAAGCAAAACCGAATTCTACATGAGATGTCTGAGAGATTTAATGGAAACAAAAACACACAGCCTGCAAATTTTCTGTGAAATTAAAAAATACAAGGCTTTGATAATGAAAGAACATAACAAATATCTTGAAGGGGTAAAAGTGCGAACGAAAAATTTTGAACATATCGATAATGAAACGTTTTCTCTATTCCATCTCATGCGCAATGAAAAATATAAGAAACTAAAAAAAATTGATGAAATCAAAGATGACAAAAACCTATACAGGGGAGATAACATCGCCGTCTATATTTCAAAATTTCTTCAAGAATTATATTCAGAATCTAATACAAATTCGAATATTCCTGATGAGTGTTTTGGTGAAAAAATATCGAATGAGGCGAATGCAAACATAACTAGGAAGTATACTGAACACGAAATCAAGACAATATTGTGCGAAATTAATAATAACAAATCACCAGGCCCTGACGGATTATCGCCAGAATTTTACAAACATAACTGGGATATAATAAAGACAGAAATAACTGCTGTCATAAATGAGATAAACACAGCCATTGAAATTCCTGATAGTTTTAAAAAAGGACTCATAGTCCTGGTTCCAAAAACGACGAAACCGGAAACGATGAATGAGTATAGACCAATTTCCATGTTGAATGTAGATTATAAACTATTTATGAAATGCATGAAGAGTAGGCTTAGCACTCACTTAACGGAAATAGTATCGGTAGAACAAACGTGCCTATCAAAAGAAAATAATATCATTATGACACTTCTTGCCCTACGAGAACAGGTGTTTATGACAAACTATAAAAAGAAAAACAGTTTATTAGTGAGTATCGACTTCGACCACGCATTTGATAGGGTACAGCATTCTTATCTTTTTAAGGTGATGAAAAAACTAAATTTTTGCGAGAGAGCTATAAATATAATCAGATCATTATATAAGGGCGCTACGTCACATATTCAAATCAACAGAGATAGCAGCAAAATTATTGATATTAAAGGTGGAGTTCGTCAGGGTTGCCCATTATCCATGGTTTTGTTTGTTATTGCCATTGAGCCTTTATTGCGTATGTTCAAACTGAGAAACATTTCTTTTCATGCTTATGCGGATGACATTACATTATGCACTAAATCATTCGAGGAAGTGAGGGAAACAAAAAGATTATTAGAACATTTTGGAGACTGTTCGGGGGCAAAACTAAACACCGCAAAATGTCAAGCAATCGAGATAGGACCAACGGGAACGACAAAATTTCAAAATACGAATTTTGGATGGTTTACTGTAAAACCAGAAATCAAAATACTAGGGGTAATTTTCGCGTCAAATTTAAATAAAATGATAACTGTGAATTGGACCAAAATCACGAATAACGTACGTTCATTTCTGATTATGAATTCGACCCGCTGCTTATCTCTACTTCAGAGAGCAGCATTTATTAGAACTTATGGTTTATCGAAAACGTGGTACATTGCGCAAATATTGCCTATCCCCATGTTGACAGCAAAAAGACTCGTGTCAATTTGCGGATACTTTCTTTGGTACAAAGCGACACTGAGAGTTTCAAGAAAAACAATTATTTTGCCTACGTCTCGAGGCGGTTTGAATATCCCAGACCCGTGCATGAAAGCTAACGCCTTATTGATAAACAGTACAATGAAAGCAATTAAATTTGGGATGAAGATTGAGTTCTGTGGAATAGAAACAATGAAGAATCCTCCTTTTATAAACGGAATTCCGTCACAAGCACCCCACGCTAAAAGAATTGCTCTTGAAGGAGCCTATATTCCTTTGGTAAGTTTGCAGCCAAATCAGCTTTCAACAAGAGAAATATATAAATATTCGATAATGGTTTCAAAAATTATCCCGAGTGTGGTAGAGAAAGATACGTCAGGTCAGCTGAAATGGGAATTAATTTTTGAAAACATCAATAACGACATTTTGGATCACAATC